GAATCGATGGGACAAAAAGGGAAAGAAGAGGAAGAAAGGAAAGAAATTGGACTGAGTGAGGGGGAAAGATAAAGAAAATAAAGAAAATAAAGAAGAAAGATAAAGAAGAAAATCGAAAGAAAAAGCTTTCGAGGCAGAAATCACTGATTTCCTAGAGTGAAAAGAGGCGAATTTGACATAGAAACAGAAAAGAGATCGTGGGAAAATTTGATAAGAATCGAGGTATTTGGGGAAGAACTTGAAGAGAATTTGAAGAGAATTTGAAGAAAAGTGTTCACTTTACAAGTGTTAGGATTAAATTGATAGTTAAATTTAGGAATATAGGGTTAGTGAATTTAGGGTTGGTGAATTGAAAACTGCCGGACTTTGAACTAAAATTTATTGAACATAAAACCATGAATTCATTCCAAATGATTTCCATTATTATTGACGACTTCTGCCCATTTTACAGGCAATTTGCGGATTCCTCTTTCGTGGTAGGATTTTGGTTTTGAGTCGAAAAACTTTCAAAGCCAATTTTGGCTCCTTCCGAATCGAAGTGTTCCCCCAGCTCACCATGATCCGGAATAAATAGTAACAAAGGGGCGAGGTCCGAACTGTATGGGGAATGCGCCAAAAGTTCCCAAACAAGGCTAATTATTTTATGGAGGACTGGAAATGTAGCCCAGTTTGAGCACTTTCTTCAAAAGAAACCCATTTTGGTGTCAATAGAAAAGTTGTAGAGAATCAAAAATGAGGCTTATAGCCAAATTTCCAAAAAGATACACTTAGTAGTTTCGCTTAAAATGCAAGTTTTGTGAAAATTCGTAAATTTGGCATTTCTTCAAAACCAGTTTTTGAATCGTTCTGAAAATTTGGATATAAGTTTCATTTTTGATTCTCTACAACTTTTCTATTGACACCAAAATGGGTTTTTTTTAAGAAAGTGCTCAAACTGTCACATATGACAGTTTTCAATTCACCAACCCAATAGAAGTTTTTTTAAAAATACAAAGTGTCTACATAGATGCAGTACTGGACAATGAAATATGATATTTGAAAAACGATCGTCACTTTCGCGCGTCTATAACTCCCTTGTCTTTGAGTTTAAACTATTAGTGTTATACATTTTCTGAAAGCTCTTTTCAAGGGCTACACAATGGTAATATTAATATTTAGAAATACGGTAAAGACAAGGGAGTTACAGACGCGCGAAAGGGCGAAAGTGTTTTTTCAAATATGATATTTCATTGTCCAGTAGTGTAGTTCAGTCTTTGTATTCTCTTGGGATCTTCGGATTCGATGATCTTCGGATTCAATGATCTTCGGATTCAATCAAGAGTTTGGAAAATTCAACCTGTACTTTGTGCTCTTGCAAACGGTTGGTCTCTGGTAAACTGGAAGCCTCAGTTTTCTTATAACCACAGAAACTAGTGTGCCGTTCACTAGAGCACAAAGCACGAATTAGGTACGAATTATGACAGGCATTATCGGCAGATTTTTGTATGATTTAGCTGTTACTGCCTGATAAACCTAGAATTTCAATTCGAAAATTCGATTAGAATCTTTCTAACGCTGTACAAGTTCTCTTTCCACTGACCTCAACTTTCATCGCTTCGAGTCCCGGGGTTGGATAAAGATTTGGAGTAAGATTGAGATTGAGTCTGAAATTATTTGTATTAGAGGTATTGGAAAAGTCAATTCCTTTACACTATTCAAAATTGAAATACTCTTGCTTTATATTGAATAACTTACGGGTCTAGAAGCGTGTAGGTAGGAGTGGAATTGACGGATGGTATCATGAATGGAGACACCAAAGGCTTTTCGTCCACCATTCTCAAAGTTGAAGCAAAAGTAGTTGAGAAATTTTATCAAAAAATGGTATGCAATAAAGAAAGATGGATGCAATGATTTTGTGACGGAAATTGTTCAAAATTTGCGTAAAAATAGCACAAAAACGTTTCAAATTGATCAAAAAAAGGAAAAAAAAAGATTTTTTAAGAAATGGGATGGTAAGATTTTGATGATAGAAATGATATGCTTAAAGTTAAAAACAAAACAAATCATTTTTTGCGATTGGATTAAGAAATTCTGAACAAGAAAGCAAAAAAGCAAGAAATTCTAAACAATATTTAATGTATTTTTTGGCAATTTTAGGATAAAATAACAGGAACTAGATCAGAAAGATCCATTTTTCGATGTGATGAAAGCTGGGGTGTTCCTTGCTATCCGTCAATGAATCGATATTCAAAAGTGGTCCCTTTTCTTCTACTTCTTTTTCTTCTTCTTCTTCTTCTTCTTCTTCTTCTTCTTCTTTTTCTTCTTTTTCTTCTTTTTTCATTTTTTTCTTCTCTTTCCGAGTTGTGTCGATGGTAGAGATGAACGTGTGAAAAAGAAGGCAAAAAAGAAAAGGAGAATGAAAAAAAATGAAAAAATGGTGAGAGAGACATCGAAATCGTGAACAGATTCGATAGATTCACCATTCAAAATCGCCGTTCTCTAGGTTTCGCCTTAGAAATGAGCTGAAATTAGAACTAGATTTGTTGATCGACCAATTTACAAGCCAAAGGATATGGCCAAATGAGATAAGCCATAGACCATTCAATGCAGAATTCCACGCTGATTCTGAATCTGCTTTCCGTTTTTGCTAAATCGCTTCCCATAAAAAGTTATACGTGTTTTAAGTTCTAGAGTGAAAAGACTAAAAATTGGAGCCGAATAGGGATGCCTTTAAAGCAGTTTTCTCACGGATCCCAAACGTGACTAGATGGCGTAGTGGATAAGACGCTTGGATACAAAACGGGCCAGACATAGTCTGCTCGAGTTCTTGCAAAACTTTTGTATTTTGTGGTTTGATGTTTTAACACCTGAATTTTATCTGACTTTAAAGTTATTTGAAATTTTTATACTATTATAATTGATCGTCTATGTACACTTTGAGAGTAAGTTGCGTGTTTCAAGGTGATCGGCTGAAAAGAAGACATTTCGGAGTTAATAACTGACAAAGGCTGAAAAAATGGAGTTAATAGCGAACAAATACAAATACAAATAAAAATACTGACAAATAAATAAGTTAATAATTGGAAATCACTTTAAATAGTTTTAAGGCCAGCTAAAATCAGATAAACATCAAAACAAAAAACGAAAGCTTTGCCGAGAAGGAATCGAACTCGAGCAAACCACCCAGCGCTTGCTTTGTATATGTTACGTACGAATCTGATGAGACGTCCATCTCTCATCCGGACGTCCGATTCTGAGGAGATTCGTTCTTCTCTGAAACGGACGTCCGACTCAGAGACGTTTCAGAGGAGAATGAATCTCCTCAGATTCGGACGTCTCCTCAGATTCGAACGTAACATATACAAGCCTCTTATCCACTATACAATCTTGCCACGTTTGAAACACGTGAAAAAAACCTTTATAAAGGAATCGGCTCCAAATTTTAGCCTTTTCACTCTAAAACTTAAGAACACTTATAACTTTTGATAGAGTGCCATTTTGCAAAAGCGAAAAGCAGATTCGAAATCAGCATGAAATTCTGCGTTGATGGTCTATGGCTTATCTCATTTGGTCACATCCACATCCCTTGTTAGTGCAGATTGTGGTAGAAAATGAATTACAGTAAAAAATAACTGCAAATACTTGAATATTCGATTCGTCTGTGATCTCTGATTTTTATTTGGCGCTAACTTAACCGAAAAGCAAGTCTAGTTAGAATGAAGTTGAGCAGGGGTTGAGTAGGAAATTCAGTGTTCATCATAGAGTTATAAAGCAATTGATTTGCAAGAGTTAGATCAAGTGCTTTCTAAAGAGTGCATCGGTTTCTAAAGAGTTTCGAAAACTAAAACTGTCTACCCTTCACTGTAGCCTGAGTCAATGAGTAAAGTGTTTTTAAACTTGTGCCATTCACAAGATAGAAATTGTGGTTACGATATCTTTTGAAAACTCTTGACTCAAGTGGATAAGCTTGTTGAAGCTGTCTTTTCATGTCACAATGTCATTAGATTGAGTTTCGGTTCTTTTTCTAATCTAAATTTTTAGAATTTTTGTTCTTTATCTAATCTAAATATCTAAATATCTAAATCTAAATAAAGATAGATAAAGTCTAAAGCTAAGTCTAAAGCTAAATAAAGTCTAAAGCCAAATAAAGTCTAAAGCTAGTCTAAAGCCAAATAAAGTCTAAAGCCAAGTAAAGTCTAAAGCCAAATAAAGTCTAAAGCTAAGTCAATCAATCAAACAGTCAAAGATCAATCAAATCCTCTTTGGTAAATCGAAAAGATCTCAAACTTGAAGGAAAGCGATCAAAAGAAGGAAAATTTAGATCGAATCAATAAACAAATGTAAACCGATGGTAAAGAAATGTTTAGGGAAATGAAAAGAAGAAAAAGAAAACGGAAAGATGGAGAGATTTCTTTGTATTCACCGATTGGGACACATATGGAAGCAGGGTAAAAGAAAGGGGAAACTTTTAAGGAAAAGAATCGTTTACAGAAAAGGAAAAATGAGATTTGATATCTATTCAAATTGAAAGGAAAAGAGGAAAGGAATTCAATAAAATCTCTTTTTTTTTCTCTATTGGAGCACCAAAAAAGTGGAAGCTTTTCTTCTTTTGGCCCTTATGCTGTCAATCGATCAATCTAGTAATTTGCAATGTCAATCTAGTAATTTGCAATAAAGTCAATGTCAATCTAGTAATTTGCAAGCTTGCAAAAGAAATTTGGAAATTGTTAATTGAAAGTTTTGAATTGAAAATAAATAAATAAAGTCTTAGTGAAGTTTACTGAAACAAATTAGACGATTTCCAACGATTTCCAACGATTTTTACCTGAAATTTGACTGTTTTGCCTTAAATTTGACAAATTCTTTCCTTTTCTTGAACCGATTATAGCCGATTTTTTTGCTGATTGCTTTTTTTGTTTAAAAAAATGTATCAAACGCTTTATAATCAATTTGACTGTATTTGACTGATCAATTTGACGCTTTACAATCAATTTGATCAATTTTATCGTTTTTGATCCTCAGTGCTGCAATGAGACGAGTTTCTTTGCTGGCGCTAAAATTTCTTTTACAAAAACTTTTAATCAGCACAACTAACCTTCAATAGGTGATAAACAAAAGAAAGATTGCTGATTGAAGACCGAATCGCCCAATTCATTGTACCAAAAACCGCTCGATTCATTCATGTAAGCGTGAATGCAGTAATCACATGTTTTTGTCGGTTGACCTAGAGAAACTTTAAGGGCAAAACAGGACAAATACCGTTCTTCAGAATTTAAAAAAAATAGAGAACAATTACGATAATAAGTTCTTGGATGTAAGAACTTTCGTGTCTCTTGTCTCACTGTAAGTTATAAAGTTTCGAAAGAATAAATATTATTCATCTTTTAAACCTTTCAATGAAAGGTAAAGATGAATAATAAAGATAATATTTAGCTGAATACTTTCTATTTTATTTACTCTAAGATAATTGGCTGTTTCTTTGAGCTATTTATTGGGTTGGTGAATTGAAAACTGCGGACTATTGTCATATGTGACAGTTTGAGCACTTTCTTCAAAAAAAACCCATTTTGGTCTCAATGGAAAAGTTGTAGAGAATCAAAAATGAAACTTAAATCCAAATTTTCAGAACGATTCAAAAACTGGTTTTCAAGAAATGCCAAATTTACGAATTTTGACAAAACTTGCATTTTAAGCGAAACTACTAAGTGTATCTTTTTGGAAATTTGGCTATAAGCCTAATTTTTGATTCTCTACAACTTTTCTATTGACACCAAAATGGGTTTCTTTTGAAGAAAGTGCTCAAATGTTCAAACTGGGACATCTCGAGTCCTCGATTTTTGAGTCTCACACTTGTCTCACACACAAAACAAAATCCTAATACGAAAGAGGAATCCGCAAATTGCCTGTAAAATGGGCAGAAGTCGTCAATAATAATGCAAATCATTTGGAATGAATTCATGGTTTTATGTTAAATAAATTTTAGTTCAAAGTCCGGCAGTTTTCAATTCACCAACCCAATAATATCCATCTACTAATAAGTACTTCCGTATCTTTCTCGCTAATGCTAATTTGCATCATTTGCATCATCCGCATCTTCAGCTCTTGAGATCCTCTATTTTTTGAGCTATAGATCATGTAAATCCAGCAGATTTTAAGCAATTTAGAAGCGTTTATAAGTTTACGTTTGTAGTTTGTAGTTTGTAGTGCCCATGTCTATTGTACGGCACTAAACGTAACAATTTTCTTTGCAAAGTGACCTTTTTAACTAAAATAATAGCGGGATGAATCACTTTTTCGGGATAGTAAAGCAATAAAATGGGATAGTTAGGGTAAAACTCCTCTCGACCGAGATATGCGAAGGTTTCGGCTGTTCCTAGGGACGTTTTGCCAGGTTAACCCAACTCAAAGCCAAGGCTTTAGAACTAAATCCAAAGCCAACAAGCCTACTTACTGTAATTATCAGGTACAGTTAGATAAACGGAAAATCGTTCACAGAGTAGAGTGCTATTGCCCCAGGGGAAACTACGAATCATGCAAATTAGCATTTTGAGAACTGTCGGGAGAAATATACGAAAGGCTTACTAATCTTGCTAGCTGTCTTGAATACATCTAATACAGAGTGACCGCAAATTATAGCCACTCACTTAGTCATCTAAAGATTCTAGAAGCATCAATCAGTTAGAAAATGGGCTTGGCTCCGGAAGACATACTCAAAAATCACCTCCAAAACTTTCATACGAATTCTTTGAGTTCTCGCTGAGCTAGACCCTCAGAAGTGAGTCGCTAGAATTCGCGGTCACCTTGTAGAATACTTGATTCAAATCGATAGTTTAAGCATTTGAATTTGAAAAAGCAAAAGCATTTGAATTATACACAAAGAGATAGCCAAACCGGTACTCATTCATTTAAACAAAGATCTAGAACACAATATTGCATATATTGGGTTGGTGGAAAAGTGCTTTCCGATTTTTTGGGAGAGTACCTTAAATTTGTCCAATTGGGACGTTTTATAGCTCATCCTAAAGCTGAATTCAAGATGGATCGATTGGTAAAAACCGTTTTGAGATATCTCTTTTCTAAAAGTTTTTACAGCTATTTTAGTAAAGGGCAGTAAAGCAATACTTAACTAGCATATAAATTTCAATTTGTAATTTTTTTCTTTAAAGGGGGGGGTATTAATCGCGGCCGGGTGACGATAAAAATTTTTTTACGGCAACCACCTGTTTTTTTGTTTTAATATCGCTGATTTTATTATAAAAAGAATAAAAATCACCCGGCTAGAGTGATTTGATGGGTTTACAAATTTTTGGAGACACTGCAAGGCTTGGAGAAAAACAAGATCGTCACTCATCAGACACCTCAGCTAAAAGGCACCTATTTGAGAAAACTAAAACCATAAGCGACCACAAATGAAAAAAGATCTAATTGTGTCAATCAAAGCGCTGAAGACGTCCTACGATGGAGGAGATCCAGTCACTTTTGGTGAAGATGCGCTGGAAATTGATAAGATAGGAAGCCGATTTGTACTGCTGTACTTGAGCCGAACTGCTGTACTTGAGCGAAGATGAAAGTGAGCAAGAGGAAGAATTATAGATTAACAATTTATTTTTATTGCTTTTTGTGCTTTTTATTTTGTTTTTAAATTTATCTGCAATTAAAACTCAATCGATCTAGACTGTGCTGATGAGTGACGATCTTGTTTTTCTCCAAGCCTTGCAGTGTCTCCAAAAATTTGTAAACCCATCAAATCACTCTAGCCGGGTGATTTTTATTCTTTTTATAATAAAATCAGCGATATTAAAATAAAAAAACAGGTGGTTGCCGTAAAAAAATTTTTATCGTCACCCGGCCGCGATTAATACCCCCTTAAGAAATGGTTTCTTTTCTTTAAGAAGATAATTCACGTACATGATTAGATAAAGAATTTCAACTTTCTACCACACTAGACCGCTAGACTAGACCCACACTAGACCCACGCTAGATTCACACTAGACCGCTAGAAGTGAGTCACTAGAATTCAAAATCACCCTGTATCTTACCAGGTCCCCATCTTTGATAGTCCAAATTTGACCCATCATCCCATGTCCATGTTTCTTCACCGGTTACATTGAACGAAAGACCGATAAAGGCAAAACCCCAAGCTGAAAACGTTTCCCGATATTTTCAAAACAAAAATTTGAGCTCACGATATATCTGTGATGTCATGCTTGTCAATAAAGCCGATTGATAAATGTTATGGATTGAGATGAGGTGACCGTTGAAGTTTTTCGCGCAGAAATGAACCGCATCATCGTGCATCATCACTGAAATAGAAGAGATGATGGGAATTCGAATAGCCCAGTATTCTAGGCTTGATTTGTTTGAAAACTATTGAAGTTCAATAGTGTATAAACAAATGAATTGCAATTATCGTTCTTTACATCGAAAAGTGATTCTAAAGCTTTTAAAGTCTCACCAAAGTCTCTACGATTTCTGTTTTAGTAAAGTAGTTTTTAATTTGGAAAATCTACAGTAATCTTTCATTCAGAATTTGTCCATTTTAGTTAATTTTAATTTACTTACTCAATTCGAATCAAACTTTGAACTGAATGGATGGAAAATTAACGGACGGACGGAACTGAACGGACAAAAACTGAAGGAAAGATTCGAATAGCTTTCTCAATGAAGTAAAAACGAATCTTTTCTTTTTCGTAAATCGTGTGGCTAAAGTTTGGAATGCCCTTCCCGACAAGTTGCGTTTGATCTCCACCGTGTCTGATTTTAAAAGGGCTATTTCGTTGCATTTTAAGTGACTTTGTGATCTTTTATCTAGTACATTTTTCATGTCGTTTTCGCACTTTATTTCTTTCTGAATAAAGTATTTATATAACCCACCATTTTCATAAAAATACAGACAACCAGAGAAAATTGAATTGTAAGTGGTATATTTTGGACAATCCTGTGAAACGATAAACCCAAAATAGAAAACAAGTAAAAGAAGCGGAAAATTCATCTTCGAAAAGACAATAGACAAATGATTTTTCGCTTAATTAAAACACGCAAAAGAATACGAGCAGAGTTCAGTTTGGAAAGGAGATTTCATTGATAAAAATAAGACGATTAAGTGATCATTGACACCTTATGACGGTTTATGGCTTTGAGAGTCTAAATTGAGAGTATTGCTGTGCTATTTGATTACCTTGAGGACGAAGGAGAGCTTAAAATTTATAAACTTTTGTCAATTAAATTGAAGATTTGATAGTGAGAGTGAGCCTCGTTTAATGACTTGCAATCAGTCAATATTTCTTTATTTGTTTGTTTAGATTTGCAGACTAAGTTAAACTTTAGACTGTTAGCTTTTTGGCTTACGAATAGCTGCCAAAACGGTTTTTGGCTTACAAATAGCTATCAAAATGACTTTTGGGCTTACAAATAGCTATCAAAACGACTTTTGGGCTTACAAATAGCTATCAAAACGGCTTTTTGACTCAGAAATAGCTATCAAAACGGTTTTTAGCTTACAAATAGCTACCAAAACGGCTCAGAAATAGCTACCTATTTTAACCAAACTTTGGCGGAAATCGAAAACTTTAAATTCCCGAATTCTTTCTGAAAATGAGAAAAGTGACAATGAGCTTCAAAAATTCGTTTTTTCGGCAATTTTGGATATTTTCTTAGGTAACTTTCCTTAATTCCTTAATTCAGAAAAACACTTAATTTTCTTAGCAATTGCAAACCTTAGTAAACCTTCATTAAACCTAATCTTTTCTTCATTAAATCTCCAGGAACCAAAATGGTTGGAAATTTGCCTAATTTCTCCGTTTTTTCTGCGCTTCCGTTTCGACGGATTGGGCTAAATCATAAAGTCAATAGTGAAGAAATGGGAAACTAAAAAGAGGAGAGATCGAGGGAAAAGAAGGGGAATTCTCTTGGAAATCTCTTTTCCCCAAATCAGACACCAATCGGGTGTCAAAAAAAACGATTGCCGTTCGGTGAAAGACTTGACGTGTTCAAAACGAAGAGATCACGTTTTGCCATTCACTCTATTTGTATATTTTTTTATTTCATTGAAGTTTCGATATGAAAAGGTTTGTGTGATTTCACGCTTAGGTTTCCTTTCTTTCTATGGAGAGATTTCTCTATGGAGGATTTCTGATGAAAAGTAGTTCGATTCGTGATTTTTATTGGTGCTTGTTCAGGTTATTCTTTTTTCTATTCTCTTCTTTCATCAATCCGATCAACAATCAGATGTGGGGATGGGGAAATGGGTATCGTAAGTGATTTTTCAGTACTTGGTAGCCAAGCACGATCTAGCTCAGGAGGAAATACTGGGTTGTCCAGTTATGAATGCGCGTTTTTACTATTTTGTAAATTTCTCAAGAGATGTATATGAGTGTTATATATCATTCGAAAGCTGAAGATCTCCTCTACATTTTGGAATAAAAAAGTTTTTGAATTCATTCAACTTTTTGGGAAATTGGCTGCACAAAGAAGAGGTCGTTTTCGAAAAAACCCATTCCAGCGTAGCTATTCCTGAAGTTTTATGGTGTAAAATAACCGCCCAGAAAAGGAAAGTAAAGATGCTCTGAAATTGTTATATTTTAAAAAAAGTTGTATTGATATATCTATTGGCCAAACATCAAACGGTTAACTCAATTTGAGCGGAGCCAAAACTTGATCCAAAGGCACCCTTCCATTTTTTGGCCACCCCTTCTTCTGTGCAGTCAATTTGCCCAAAAGCCCAACAAATTCAAAAACTTTTTGTATCAAAATGTAGAGGAGATCTTCAGCTTTCGAATGATACTCATATATATCTTTTTCTTGATTTCGGTATCTTGAGAAATTTACAAAATAGTAAAAAACACCCATTCATAACTGGATAACCCAATACAATGTAATTGATCTGTTGCAATCACTGATCTCTTTTCAGCTAATCCCCCGCCTGGACCTCCAAATAATAATATTGGAATCGGTTATCCGACAGCTTATTCTTTGTATGTTGGAAAAGGAGGAGGAGGTGGAGGTGGATGGGGCGGTGGGGGTGGATGGGGATGGGGTGGAGGAGATCAATACCAGGTAGGACAATGAGATGTACTAAAAGTTAGAGTTAGAACTACCTTTCAGTCTGGCAAAGGTCTCGGCTTCCCGACATTGAAATGTGAGAATGGTGGAGCACATATTGGACAGTGCAGATGGGTTTTTAACAAGATTTTGTTTAAAAGCGATGCCCAACAGACTCAACTCACTAAATGAAATGAACCATAGATCATTCGACGCAGAATTTTATGTTGGTTCCGAATATCTGATTTGCTTTTTGAAAATGATTCTGAATCGTGCGCTATTTGGCAAAAAAGCAAACAAAAAAATAGCGTCGGCAAAAATCGGCCTCTCTTTTAAGGCTTACGCGCGCACTGCGGGAAATGGCTGCTTGGTGTAGTGGATAGTGAGTTAGGATACGGAGAGCTTTCCGAGGGTTCCAATGCGCTCACTTTTTTTTTTTTGTAAACACTTTATGGTGTCTCTCATAGCTTGAGTGAGCAAAACATAGTTCAATATCAAATCGAGCATAGACATCAGCTCGTCCTCACGTAGACATCAGATCGTCCTCTTTTCGTCCTCACATTTTTATCCCAGATGTGTGTGGAAACACATAGAATAGATTATCCAAAAAAGAAAAACTGGGCGGAGTCGAAACCACGAGTAGGTACTCCGGATACTAATCTACTATCCACTACACCACGCAGTCATTTCCACGCAGTCATTGCCACACAGTCATTGCCACGCAGTCATTGCCACGCAGTCATTTCCAGGCAGGGCGCGCGTAAGCGTTATAAAGAGATTTAGGAGAAATCATCAAAAGCTTGACTAGGATTTCCACTTCTAATATGGGAGTTTTCAGATTGGATCAAGATGCGATTTGCATAGCACTTGGTGGAACTTGTGTGAATGGAGCCTGCTGCACGACACCTTTTTCGGCATTGGGCAGCGGGGGAAAGACGGGAAATGGCGATAGACCATTGACAACAGTTGAAGGAGATGTGGGTTTGGGATTGGTTATGGAAAGGTGACAATCTAGTAGCCTAACAATTAGTGTCCAAGGACAAGTTGGGAATCTCTTTTTGAAATTAGGGATTGCTTCAATTGCAAATCGATGAACACAGTCTTGTAAGAGATTTGTTGAAGTGTTAGTGACTTTAGGTAGAACCAGGCTCGATCATTTCCGAAACAAGTAATGAAAAAGAGGAATGGGAAAGACGTGGAAGTGGACTAGTTGGAGAGATTGGAGAAAAGGGGAGAATAACGAGGCCGCCATTCGGAACAACACCACAGCCATACACAGAAAGGACGAGGAAACCGACGACACATCAGAAAAAGGTTTGTGTGAAAAAAGGGAAATGAATAGAATGAGAATTTTATGTCGATGTGGTGACGGTGAAACCGGAAGGCGAGGAAATGGAGGAATTGTTCGAGATTTTGGGCTCATCCACACCGAGACCGACGAAATCGACATGGAAAAAGAAAAATCGGGGAAAGAAAGGGAAAACGACGACAACGATCAAGGCAATGGCAACAACTACGGTAAAGGAAAAGAAAAGAAATCGAAAACTAGAGCAATCTATTTTCTAAAAGACATCTACGACGACCCTAACGACCGACGGTCTGGACATTTTTAGAGTCCTAACAAACTTTAGACGATCTAGTCTCGTCAGTTTACATTCGATCAGCTCAATCCGAGTTTACAATCAGATTCAGAAAAATTTAAAACCGACTTGGTCCTGGTCTGAGTCCATTTTATGGAGATTGATCAACATTACCTTATAGTTTATATATGGAAAGCGATGTGCTAGATGGAGTGTGATTATGCGCGCGCACAAAGAACAAATAACTTGAAAAGAGCACTTGAAAACAAAAGTACTTGAAAAAAGCAACAGAAAAGTCCAAAGTGGGGTCGAACTTGTGAGGTCTCGCTCTGGAAACGAGCGCTATACCACTCGGCCACAGCTACACCGAACCGGGTCTGCAAGAAGGCCGCTAAGACCCACATTTTCAGAGTCCTAACAAACTTTAGACGCTTATAACTCTTGGTAGATTGTCATTTAGGAAAAGCAGAATATAAATTTGGAATCAGCATAAAATTTTGCGTCGAATGGTATAGGTCGCATAGCATTTAACCGGCTCAATCAGTTGATCTTCCGTTGTCAGTACAAAAATTGGAATGATTGAATGAAAATTGGCGAGATTACGATAGATTTCTGAAGTAGTTGTCTTTTAGTAAACTCATTGCTCCAGACGAACGCATTCTAATCAAAAAAAATGATCGGGAATTTCGGAGTTGCTTATTAAAACGAAAACAAAAACGTAATCGATCTTTTCCAGTCTCTTCCCACTCATCTTTCCCTTCTTTTAACAACTTGTTCATCGGGTCTTCGTCCTGTTGGTCCTTGTGCTGAAGATTCCGATTGTCCGACCCTTCATCATTGTCAAAATAATCAAATTTGTTGCTATAATATTTTTCATTTCGATGAGCACAGCTTATAACAATATTTATCGATATTTGCTTTTTCATTTGATTTGAGATTGAAGCTTTTTTTGATCTTTATTTCTTCAAATACCTCATTTTGCTTTTAAGTCTTCTTTGTGTTTCAAAATATATATATTAAAATAAAAAAGAAACATACAGCCATTTTTCTTTCTATATTTTATTTCACAAATCTTTCGATTGATGCTCGAAAATCAATGCATGATTCCCACGACTTCTTGAGAATGAAAACTGAATAATTTACGGAATAATTTACTGAATAATAGTTCTTTAAATATTCAGGAGTAAGTTTAGGGAAAGATTTGCGAAACATTCTGCGAATTTCTTTTGATACATTTCCATAAATGCCGAACAGAATTCTGGAGAAGTCACGATTTCGGCTGAATGCAAAACTTCCGTAGCAAAGGTCAAAGCCCAGCTGAAGCTTCCAGCTCATCGTCAAACCATCTGGAGAAGTCTCAAAAAGAACTTCAACATTGTCCGAGACAAGATGAAGATTCTTCCCCACCTCACTAATCCACAAACAAGCCTGGCTCTTTTGCTCTCAACAACACGACTACCAATTGAAACAAAGGAAGTTCATGCATTATAACTTATGGAATTTTACAATTTATAACTACAGATATTCTGGAGTGACGAAAAAAAGCTAAATCTTGATAGACTTGATGGGCTAAATAGCTACTGGCGTGACTCCAGGAAGGGGTCACGCCAGTAGTCGAGTATTCAGTCGTCGCAACTTTGGAGGAGGAAACGTATTGGTGTGATGCGCGTTCCATGGACCCAATCTTGTTGCTCTTGCATTTTTTTCTAATCGTATGAATTCGCTCGCTTATCAGCAGGTGTTTGCAAATAATTTGTTGCCATACATCCAACAAAATCCCGGACAAAATTTCGTCTTTATGCATGGCAGTGCTTCAATTCACGCAAGTCAAGAAAGAAAAGCTTGGCTTGCTTTGAACAACGTCAACACATTGGATTGGCCGGCATGTAGCCCTGTAGGCCTGTAGTCCGGAAACTACCAGAACTACCAGAACTCCTTGAAAAAAGATCTGGAAGATAGCCCTGGAATGCAGCTAACATTTTTGCACCATAATCTACCAGAAATTCGAAAGTTGATTTTTGATTAGAGGCTACAATTAGAGACCAATTGTAAAAAGATCGGTGAGTCTGTGAAAAGCCAAAATCTTTCTAGAACCTACCAGAAAGCCTGAGACCTAAAAGTGAAAATATTGAAGAATAACTACATTCTTGCCGTATTTCTATCTAGTTTTCACCTTTCTCGATCCCATTTTATCCCCATTTTCCGACTGAATTCATAATTAATTTGTTTATCCATCGCTTTTGAATGATGGTCTAGTATTATTGAAAAACACTCCTTTTTTCCATCTCGCTAATTATCAAAGTTTCAAAGATCATTGGTAGGAAAAGTCTCATCTTTTTTCTTTAAAAATAAATTGGAATTGAGTTCGTCTTCGTGGGAATTTCAGCGCATTAAACGACATTTTTCCCTTTCCATTTCTCATTTTTGAGTAAAATTGGAACTTTGGTGTTAATGTTCATTTTGATGTTTCTCAAAATCGTTGTTGCTATTTTTGTTGAAATTATTACTTTTCAAAACTCTCTGTTTTTTATTCAAGCATAAAAATTGACTTTAGAACACTTCAAAAGTCTTTTTTAAGTGTTCTAAAGTCTTTACAAACATTAATTACCAATCTTAGACCTGTAAGAATTGAAATGAAAACTGAAAACTGCCTGCACGGCCGCTCATAAAGTTTAAATTTTGAGTTTTTTTTATAGAATGTTTTTTTATAGAATGAAAACTTTCAGATTATTAGGAAATCTCATTTTGCAAATAATTTAATGGGGATTGTTTAAATGCGGGAAAAATTCCTGTTTGGTAGGACCATTGCAAAAGCGCCATACTTGGCATACGAAAATTGACAAAAACGACCAACTTCACAGTGAAACTCTTCTGTTTTTACCCTTTAAAATTTTTTCAACGAATTCGAATATTTTTGACTGTTGTATTTTTCAAAATATAACAATTTGCAACAGTTTAGAAATCAGACCTAAAAAGTCACTGGCTTCTAGGGCTACAAACCAGACCAGATCAAGTATGGAGCCAGTTTTTCGATTCATAACACTTAAAAATCAATTTTATGCCTTAATAAAGAAGCAAAAAGTTTTGCTAGCGAGAGGATTCGAACAAGGGAAAAAATATTGATAAGTTGTGCAAGGCGCTAGCACACTACCGACTAAACTATTGAGGCACTCTGATGGAATGGCGCCAAGGCTTTAAGTAATTAAGTAGCCAGCTTTAAGTAGCCAGCTTTAAGTAGCCAGCTTTAAGTAGCCAGCTTTAAGTAGCCAGCTTTAAGTAGCCAGCTTTAAGTAGCCAGCTTTAAGTAGCCAGCTTTAAGTAGCCAGCTTTAAGTAGCCAGCTTTAAGTAGCCAGCTTTAAGTAGCCAGCTTTAAGTAGCCAGCTTTTTTTTTTTTTTTTTTTTTTTTTTTTTTTTTTTTTTTTTTTTTTTTTTTTTTTTTTTTTTTTTTTTTTTTTTTTTTTAAAATTAATTTTTTTCAATTATTAAATGACTTTCGTAATTGTTGCACGGATTTTTTCATCGCATCACAGCTCAGTAATCTTTTTGTCACCCTTGAGCAAAAATGCGTTGTTATTTCTGTAAAAACTAGCACAAATTTCTGGGAATTGCTTTAAAAAGCCAAACAGGTGGAAACGTTCAGAAAATCTCTTTTTCAACAAAAAATACTCAGATGAATGAAAATTTGAAAAAACTGTACCCAAAAGATTTCTTTTGTACCTGATGGGGTAGAATTAGGGGAAATCACGAAAGATTGCAACTTTATGATTTAAAAAAAGAACCCGATTCAACTCTTTTCACGAGGAAACTCGTCATTAAATATTTTTTTTAATTTAGAAGTTCTAGTTCTAGAAGTTAAAGCTCTAGTTAAAAAGTTCTAGAAGTTTTTTGTAAAGAAAGCACGTGTGGCTGACTGGTTGAGTGTCTTCTATCGGGGGGGGGGGGGCCCCACCGGCCCCCCCCCTCGGGTTGAGGGTTTTCTGGGGGGGGGGTGGGCAAAAAGTATTTAGTCCGGCTAGGGGGGGGGGGGGGGGGGGCGTGTATTGTGATTATATATGGTGGTTAAGTTCTCCACGGGGGGCCCGGGGGGGGTTTTTTTTTTTTTAAAAGTTAATTGATGTAAAGATATAACTAAGCTCTCGATCTTTTTCGAAATATAAAAGCTTGACAAGAGCCTTGAATCATACGGTACTTACAAGGGAATGGTCCGAACTGGCCGAGCGATTTCGCGACGTTGTTGAGATGCAAACGCCTATCGAACATGGGGAACACGATGCTCTATTTATTTTTTTACCCATTCTCAATGGTTCACAAGAAAAACGCTTGCAAAGTTTAGGCACCTACTCGGGAAATCGCACCCCGGGGTATATGAACTCTTTCGCTTCTCTTTCAGAAGATCAGAACTAGATCAGCACTTGTTATTCGTTTTCGGAGTTTTGGAGTGGTGTTAATGTTAAAGAATGGTGTGCTCCAGCAGGTAAAAACTTGAAATTTAACAGAAAACGAAAAATTATAGCTATAGTCAATGCTCCAAATCTTTTTGTCTGAGCTCACACCTCACAATTATCATACATTTCAAACTTCGGAGTTTCTGAGGGTTACCTATTCTTAAAAATTATTATTGCGTATTTAAAAATAAATAAATAGTGTTTTTAAAGGTTTAGCAAAAGAAAGCAAAAAAAGAGCAAAAAAAAAGAATTTTTCACAACCGGATCCGAACCAGGGTCAAAAAAGAGAAAGAAAACTAAAGAGCGCGGCCATTTACCTTCACACCATTCGGCTACGCTTAAACGAAAGGGAAAGAGCCGATATATTCCCGGGGTTCGATTTCCGATGATGCCTAAACCCTAGATGCCTAAATTTGCAAGCGTTTTTCTTGTGAACCATTGAGAATGGGCAAAAAATAAATAGAGCATCGTGTTCTCCATGTTCGTGTTCGTGTTCGATAGGCCTTTGCATCTCAACGACGTCGCGAAATCGTTCAGCCAGTTCGGATCATTCCCTTGTTAGGACTTGATAAAAAGATACGGATTGTATTCCAAAGAATGTGCATCTTTATCTTTAGTTGTTAACTTTCATTAATCAAATCTGATAATTGCGACTTAAAACCAATCTCACGTGCTAATTGTAATGAAAAAATGTAATGAAACTAAGCCTACGATTCCAACTAAGATTCCAAAAAATCAAAACTTTTCCTTTTTCACAAGACTTAAATTTCCTGAAACGTTTGTGCCAGAAATTTTGAGTTAAAAGCTGAAAACATTTCGAGTTTCCACCCAACACAACCCATTTCCCTCAAAACAAATCCACTCAAAAGTTTTCTCGAAAAAACTCGGCTTAAAACCGAGAAAATCTTTGTTGCAAAGTTGTCCTTTCTTTTTTTCTTCAAAGATTGTGTTCTTTTTTGTTCATTTAAAATTCTTTTTCCCTATTCTTTTCCCAAAATTTCCCTATTTGGTCTTTTTGGGGCATTGAAAGGGAAAAAAAGGGAGGAAAAGAGGAAAAGAGAAAAACGACACAAATTCCCTCAAATTGGCCGTCTCCCTTCACAATTTTGTTCGCAATTTGAGTACTTCTATGTCAGAATTTTTTGAATAAGAAGTTTTTCTCGTTGACTGAAATCTTTAGAGAACATTTTTCAATAACTTTTATCTATGGGTTGAATTCAAAAATTTACCCTTTAGCATTTGGAAAAGGGATTTACGCTTTAGATAGTTTTACCTTATTGGAAGGTCCTGGTTGATCGGAGTCGGAGACGGACTTAGCTTCCGCGATCGCCTTCAAGCTACTTCGAAACAGATCACCTGAGCGACGTCGCTTTTGGCGAGTGACGGCAGCAGCGGGCGTGATTGAGCAGGCGTTTCCTGTACCACAGGAGGGGGATAAATCACTAAAAAAAAATAGAATAAATAGAATAGCTAGATTATTAAACTAGAAAATACTAAGTAAGTAGAAAGTATAATCCTGAAATAGACATACAGCCATGGCCGAGAAGCGATCATCAGTGCTGAAAAATGAAATGAAATTGCAATTTTCATTTAAAACTTGTCAAACTTGTTATCTTCTTGTCTATTTTTTGACCATCTTTGATCATTTTTGATCATTCTTGTCTATTTTTTGATCATTTGAGTCATCTTTTCTTTTCGCTTTTCAGCCAAGATCTCGATGAGAGATTCTTCTCAAAAAACACAAACCGAGCTTCTGTTTTTCAGTTGTTCATTATTCAGTCGTTCATCCAGTACTCATTTTTCGTTTCTTTTATTTCCCTCAACATTATTTCCTACTTTATTCACGACAATTTCTCTTTTCGCTAATAAATAAGCGCTTTAGAAATATTTTAGTTTTAGTTTTAGCAATATATTCAATTCTTTAGAGGAAAACTGAGAATTTAACAGATTCAGATACGTATTTTCTCTAATAGTAGTGCACCCTGAGCGTCGCCTAAATTGCTCGAAACTCGAGAACCGGTTTTTTCTAAAAAAAATGGCTTACCGTATTCTCTCTAATAGTAGTGCACTCTCTAATAGTATTGCGGTCCAGGAAAGGGTTGGAAACCGAAAATCGTCACCAACTGCCGGGTGCACTACTATTAGAGAAAATACGGTACTTTTTTTTATTCATCAATCTGCCAAATGTCACTAAAGAAATGGTTTTTTCTAAAAAGAATGGCTTATTTGAAATGTATCGTAATCTTTTTTCGTCTAATCAAACAAAATTTGAAGGAAAAGATTACGTTTTTCTTTTCGAAATTGTCCTTTCAGAAAACACATCAGTTTTCAAATGTTTACTCAATCAAAATGAATCTTTTCTTTAAAAATCAGCTAAAAAGAACATTTATTTGCTTGAAAAAAAGGAAATCTCCGCGAAAAAATCCTACCGGAAGCCGATTTTAGGAAAAAAAATTGGGGAAAAGGGGTGCAATTTGGCTAATTTTGAGCCTCCTCTCTCTCTCTCTCTCTCTTCGATCAAAAATGAAATTTCTCTTTAAATTCTCTGAATTTTACTTAGTTTTTCTCATTTATAATGGAAATTCCAGAGAAAAATGTTGCATTTTCAGATAGCTTTCGCTTTTTTTGAAAACCCCATTAATTGGAGGGGAAATTCGAGGGGAAATCAATGAGATTTCAATATTAAATCCCGTTTCAATCTTGATTTCACTTTTCTTTTTTTGATTGATTTCTTAATTGACTTCTGAAATTCAAGTATTTTATGTGAATTTGTTTTAAGAACGTTTAAGAATTGTTTTAAGAACGATTTCTAAAGAATTCTAATCGAATTCATTTCAGAATGGACAATTGTTCGTTGGCTGAAGAGATCACCCGTTCCGTTGCACCGATTTTCATTTATTTGGTGATTGTCAACTTTTGTGTGATCATTTCTTGTCTATATGTGGCGCTCAATTTGATCAGGAATACGGTAAGCTTAGGGTTTAAAGCCAAAATTTCAAAATTTACTTATTATTATATTTCCTAAAAGCTGATCATTTCATTCCGGGTGTTTTCATTGTGCAAAACTGCAAAACCCAAGGTCAATTGATACTCTTCGAACTTTTCTTGGAGCAAATGGTTAAAATAAGCTCTTCCAATAGGTTCTAGGGCTCTGAAAATCCCGTGCACAAATTTTTAACATTAAATCTCATTTGGGAATCATTTACAGAACAAAAGAAAAATCACTGTGTAAGGGACTATTCGTTGTCCTTTGTGCGCGTAATCGTTCTCCATCTGGCAAACCCGTTTGGTATAGAGGGCTTCTCCTTCGGAATTCGTAAATAATTGGTTCCAAAAGAAAAACAAAACGAAAGTTGCATCAGAAACCGAACCCTGATGCCGTGAGTGGAAGGCCAAGACGTTATCCACTAGGCCATCAAGTCACCTTTCCTCGGCTAGGAAAGAGAACCGTTTTAAAGCAACCGTTTTTCCCCCAAATCTCGCCAAAAAAATGTCATTTTTGCTTCTTGTCGGCCCCATTTCTCGTTGTGGAGTTACTTTGAGCAGCTAATTCTTTTCGTCATCAATATTCATCATAAGATCTATTGAATGAGGTTCTTGACTCCTCCCAAACGGTCACATTCATTTCAAACCATTCCCTAGTGAGCCGATTTCGTCTTTTAATGACGTCACGAATCATTGATTCTGATCACGCCCATCTGGATCATTTTTGCCGTAAATTTTGGTGTATTTTTGCTAGAAAACCAAAAGAACAGTGCAATTGGTTGGAATTTAAGGATTCTTTAATGTAATAGCATCAATTTCCCAAATCTAGTGGCAATTTCTGCGTTTTGTATCAATAGAATCAATGGAATGAATGGAAAACTGAATAAATCTATCACTTTTCTTTTAAGCTTACAGGAAAAGCTCAATCAATCAGTCAGTTAGTCAAAAGCTCACGTGACACAGATATTTCTTTAATTCTAAAGACTCTTTTGATCAAGCTCCTTTTTACACTAGTAAAATGTACTATTGAACACAAATTTCTAGAGAATGTATCTAGAGAAAGTGACCAAGAAATTCTAGATATTCTTTAGTTATTTCTATTCTTTAGTTATTTCACATTCATCTCCGAATTCTTCTAATGAATGTGATCATCGCGATGCTCTTCCGTACGTCATTCACCACCTTTCGTGCTTTACTACGATTGCGTCTTTTGCTCGTTGCTCAAGTAAGAGATTTTCAAAATAATCTCCAGAGATTTAAAATCATCTCCAGAGATTTAAAATCAAAAGTTTCTTTATTCTCTATTTAGTCTCCCTGTGATTTCCTTGAAGAACTTTCTTTTTGTATGGCCATTTCATCAATCACTTTACCAGCTGTTAAAGTGAGTTCAAAATTCTAGGCGGAGATTTAAAAAAAAAATGAATTCCTTTTAGGTGGTCACATTCACTTATGCTTTGATAACTTGTGAACGAGTGATCGCTTTATATTTAGTGGAAACTTATGAACAAAAGAGGAATATTCCACTCGTTTTAATCATCGCTGCTTTATCGGTAAGGGAAAATGAGCGATTTTGAAAAATAAACCACGGAAACTTTTGAAAACCTAAGGAACTTGAAAGGAACTATATAGGAACTATATAGGACCAAAAGGCAAATAGGGCCAAACAGACAAAGGACCAAAAGGCAAAAAGGAAGCCAAATAGGAACTATAAAGTAACCAAATAGGAACCATAAAGGAACTAAATAGGAACTAAATTGGAACTAAATAGGAACTTAATAGGAACTATACGAACCACAGGAACTAATAGGAACTTAAAGTAACCAATAGGAACTAAAGGTACTATCAAGGACACAAGGACAACAGTAACCAAAGGACCAATAGGAACCATAAAGAAAACTTCTGTAATCTTATCACCGATTTTCCGATCTATCTACTTTTGCAATCTTTCAGTACCAAAGTACCAATGTTTACGAAAAACAGAATTCCAAAGGAAAATAATAAAATAAATAAAATACCATCTAAAACGCAAAAAAATCCCGCTGCCAGCTGTGAATCTCGGGGAGGAAAAGGAGTGGTGAGCGACTGGGCCGGTTTCGCTCTCTTGGGCCTCACTATGTCCAAGCTCCTTTTGGAGCACTTTTTGCCCCAAATTTGATTCTACCCTTGATACAAATTCTATATTCTGTTGTTGCACTCAAAAGACGACTAAAATTGCGGAAACGCAATGGATCAGCGCCCAAAATTCAAGACTCATTCAAGACTCCAAGGACAATGAGAAGAGCCAAACTAGATAGCTTAAAAACCCTTCAAAATGTTTAATTATTCTTTTCTTGTGGTAAAAAAGGCAAAAATAAAAGCAGATAGCAAAAGGAAGTTTATCTTTTTTTATTTAGCCTAACTTCGGTCAATTCGCTTTCTAAAGAGTAAACTAGTTTGTAAGTAATTTGTAAAGTCTATCGTAATCTTTATCTATTCTAAAATGCACTAGAAGAAAACATATGTATGTCTAATAAATTTTAAAATGCTCTTTTCAGTGGTACGGTTTACCGGAAGTTCTCTATACAAGTTGGAGTGGGTTCTTGTACGGAGATTCCGGTCGTTTCCTTCCATATTGTAGCTCATCAACAGCCGGCACTGTCACAATATGGTTTATTTTCGAATGGACGATTCCTGTGAATCTTTTCAATGCAATTGCTCTAATCACTCTGCATTTTGTGCTGAAAAAGAAAGCAAAGTACGATTTTTGAAATGAGAAAAAGATCAACATTATTCATTCAGATTATCCCTTCTTTCAACTCCAATGCTTTCATCGAGATATGAAATGAGAGCCAGTCTCAAATCACTCAAATTCATTTTGCCAAATATTTTCGTGACTTGTGGAGTGAGTTGTCTTCTGCAAGCGATGACAATTGGTATGATGTTCCCCGCGATCACATCTCTTCAACAAGCAGCTATTATAAAGGTGAGAAGAAAGAAAAGATTTCAAAATAAATTCACACGAGCAATTTGGTACGAATAATAAATAAGCAGTCCTAAGCCCTAAATGTAGGGAAAAAAGAACCAAACATCTAGCTGACGGGATTGAACCCTTGATCTCCCGACTAACAAGGGAAGAACAACTGGATGTGCTAGCCAAATCACATGAGCTATAAACCATTCGACGCAGAATTTCACGTTGATCATGATGCTGCTTTTCCTTTTTGCTATGGAACACTCTGTCAAAAGTTATACACGTTTAAAGTTTTGTTTAAAGAGTTTCAAAAATCAAATCGCGACATTACAACTCTGCCCTCCGCGAGCTAGTGGCACCGGTGACCGAATGGTAGTGGGTTGAGACGCGAGGAAAGACCGGTTCTTTCTCTGGTTCGAGGCCAGTAGCTGATTGTCTTTTTTATTTTCTTCAAACTAGGAAAGAGCCTTTTAAGAAATTACATGCAAGATTTGGCAAGAGCATAAAGAAACAAAGAAATCCACAAGCGGTAAGTTGAAAGTGGGAAAGGAATCTTAAAGCTAGATACTCTCCGAATTATTTTCAGGAGCTATCATCAGCCATCATCATTCCTTTTCAATATTTCTCCTTTTCCATCATTTGTTTCTTTCGAAGTTCCGAGTTGAGACCGAGAAAATTCAAAAGAAAACGAAGAAAGGAAACGAATCAATTATTGGAAAATGAGAAAATGTGAGTTTTTATTAGGTTGGCAAGAAAGTTCGTAGAAAAAGTTTGCACAGTGATTTCTCAAAAACAAAACCATGAATTCTTTTCATTTTTTGATAAACTTGATTATATTTCAAAAAGTTTTTGATGAAAAAATAAGAGATTTCTTCAGCTAGAGGGACTTGGACACTTTTTGAGGGACCAGCCTTTAGACAAGTTTTTAATGGGTTAATGGATAGGTAGTGGACCCCATTCAAAACCCAAAATAAAGTACTTAAAACAAGGAAAATTTGCGATCAAGGCAAATTTGATCTAATGCTTTGATTCTAAGCAATTGATCTAAGCAAATTTGATCTAAGCAAACTTTTCAGAATCACCTATTTAAGCAAACACTCAGTGCCAAGAAGATGACACCAAAAAATGATTTTTCTGAAATCCAGCATCTCTGTAAAAAATTTGTTGGCCAAAAATAGAGATTATAGAGCGGATTGCTCATTTATGCTAGCTTTACCTCATAAGGAATCCTTTTTTTCGGCCAAAAAGAACATTGAATTGTGTCTTGTTTCAAATCCAATCCATTCACAGCATGGTTTCTTTAGAAGAAATGCCATTCTTTTCCTTTTCTCCTCCTTTCTCGTGCAAAAAGTGAGCTGAATTTAAGCTGGAAAATAATAATTTTACAAAAATCTCTAAAATTTTAAAGGGAAGCTGCAGTCATTTTTTTACGAGTAACTTCTTGGAGTAAATAACTTGTAAACTTGTACTTGTAAATACTTGTAAATAATAGAACTTGTACACTTGTAAATAATAGAACAAAGCGTTCTTGGAATTGGTGGATTCGTTTTTGAAGAAATTTCAGTCAAACTTTTTCTACGAACTTTCTTTCCAACCTAATAGAAAAGGAATAACTGTAAAAAAGAAGTTTTATACCAAAAATTTGCATTTTTGCACTTAAACTGCGTACAGTATGTGAAATTTCGTTTATTAAGATAATAAATTCAATCTCAACGAGATTTTGACAAGATCGCTCTCAAAAATTCTACAAATGCGGCTCTCAACGTGCGTGCGGCTCTCAACTTTAAAAGGCTACATAGAAAAGTTGAAAGCTTGAATCGATTAGATAATGGACACCGTTTTAGGGTACTTACTTAAGATTTATTTCCCGAAAAAATCAGAACGATTGAGCTTTATACAAAAATTTGTTCAGGGATCCGATCTCAGCCATGGCGAATATGCAGAATTTTTGGGAAATGCACGAATTGCAATCAAAATAAGAGTTTTGATAAAAAGTTTATCCATTTTCTTATAAACAATCAATCAATGCAAATTGTTTAAAAATTGCAAAGAAATTTTTGGGAATGTTTTAAATTTTACAAAAAAAAAAATCTTCAAACAAAATATCACAGTTTGGTGAAATGACAAAGAATTTCAGGTTTTCCACAGAAAAGTTTCATTTTATTGCTGGCAAATTTTGGTGAGAGGATCAACATAAAAACATGGGGTACACGTATAGAAAAAAGAATAAAGATTACGATAGCTTTGCTCAAAGTTTCCGAAAGCGGCGGAAAGCTTCGGAAAGCTGCAGAAAGCTACGGAAAGCTGCGGAAAGCTATCGTAATCCAAAGTTGTTAGGAGTGGGAAGAGTTAAACGAGTAAAAAGTGCTCTTAGAACAAAAAGAGAATAAAATTGTTGTTATGAAATTAACGTACTCAAAATTCAGTGGGATGTCCGGCTCCTTTTCGATAAGATGCCTTGTCATCGGGCTCATTTGAAACCTGAAATTTGATAGGGAATTTTAGTGGCCAAGAAAATGAAAGGAAAAAAGTAATTTTTAGTTTGACCATTTCAAATCAAACAACCCAACTATCTTTAAGCAATTCAAATTCGATTTTTCTGCTTTACTGCTTTTTCTGCTTTACTTATCTCAAAACAGTTTACTAGGGAAAGCCACGAATTTCTTGTGAGCTTTCGTTTCCGGATTCACATACATCTTACTAAAACCAGTATGGAGATTCATAATCTGAAATCAAAATTTGCGAAATAAACTTGCCAGACGCGTAAGAATTCAATGGAAATTTTGAAGATCTGCTTTAAAGCTTATCTTCGAAATTTCAGTTCAATTTTTATCTGGATTTAGTAAGATGTATGTGAAAAAATCAAAAACAAAGACAGAATTTCGATTTTACGACCGAGAAGCCGTCCCACTATCCACTAGATCACCGATGCCCATATCCCAGCGATATGGTTCAATTTAATTCTTACGCGTCTGGCAAGTTTATTTCGCAAATTTTGATTTCAGATTATGAATCTCCATACTCGATTTAGTAAGCTGTATGTGATCCGGAAACTCACGGGAAGTTCACGAAAGCTCACGGGAAGTTCGTGCTTTTCCCTAGTTAGATAAAGTAACATGAAAGTGTTGGATTTAAGTCTAAATGAAAACTAAATGGAATCTAACTGAAAAATAGGGCATAAGGCTCACTAGAACAAATAGTGGCATTGTCATGTCTTGGTTTGCATAGTTGGCTTTGTACAGAATTGTAATTTCCATGGTTTTGCGTGCTTAACACATTCGCGACAGCGGTTTTTTTTGAGCGTAGAGTCGCGTAGTCGTTAACTGTCGTGAATGTGTTAATGATGCAGTTAAAAACTTTAAAGGATTGGAATTTTGAGAAACCTTTGAGGGGAAAACCCGTGCAATCTCTAGAAAAAAAAGGAAAAAGTTGAAAACAATCAAAAAAATCGATTTAAAAAAGAACTTGAAAAAGCTAATGATTAATCTATTGTCATGCAAATAACCTCTCATTATTTCTATACTCCCGAAGTGGAAAAAGACTTTTTCTTCGGCTCCACTTCATATCGAGTCTGTAAGGTGAAAGCTATCGTCCCGGAATAACTTTTGAAACTTTTGAAATAATGATTCTAAGCTCTCACTTGGCTGTACTTCTTGTATTTTGCATAATAACATGTAGCGGTCATTCCAACTAGGAGAATTGATAGAGCGACGGCGATGATCAGAATTGCGATCTGGAATTTGTTGAAATTTGGTGAAATTTTGAAAATTCAACTCGTTTCTAAGGATTTTGTTATTCATTTTACATAAATGAATAACTTTATAGGAGTTTTCAAGAGGATATTCAGGGCTAATAGTTTAGTTTGTCGTGACGATCTCGTGATCGAGATCGCCACTTATGGAAATAGCCAGCTAGGCACCTATGTGGACGAACGCCTATTGTGCGAGATTTAATGTGCGTCGCTATCCGTTCAACTCCATTGTGTGCAAGATGAGACCAACGCCTGAGTTCCGTATAAAAGCAATGTGAACGAGCTGCCGAGGTGTGCCGTGCCGTGTTTCTACTCTCCCAATCTCAAACCACTGAACCAACTATTATCGCTGTAATAAAGATTATATCTAAACCAACAATAGTCACTACATAGTTTATCTTTGGGTATTCACAAATTCTCAGTAAACTAGTGACGACTAGGCGACTGTTTGCTCAAAAAACTGTTGTTTTTCGTATGCTTCGTATGCTATGCTTCGTATGCTATGCTTCGGATGCTTCGTATGCTTTCGTAAACTTCATATGCTCAATTTTCGTTTTTGGCTTGCGGCGCAATCGTCATGGCCCCTTGTTTTTGCCTTCCATTCCGTTATAGAAGGATCGACTGTACTAGTTTTCAAGAGGAGATTAGTTTAGTTTAGTTTATCCTTGTTAGTTTAATAGTTTAGTTTATCTTTGAATTTACGCTAAAGGTGAGAGTTTTACGTTTCCAATCTTACCTGTATCGTTTCCAACAATCCTCCAACTGTTTCCAAAGTTTTGTTCAAGGTGATCAATGTCTAAAAAGCTTATCCTTTTTATGTTTTAATCTCTTTTCTCATCCTCACTTCATCAAGTGACATTCTTTGTTGTTGCTGGGCCATTGCCACCGTCTTGTTCAATCTAAAATAGCTTTTTAAATTGGCTAAACATTACTAAGCGCCAAAGAGAATAATAGTACGACTAATACTTTCTAATACCTAATTAGGAAACTCACAACTTCTAGATATACAAATTTTTCGTGGAGAAGTTCTAGAAAAACAGATTTATCAATAGAATGTTGATATCTGACTTGAAAAATATAAAAAGTGAATCGAAATTGTTTGAAAACCTTGTTTGCTTGCCTCAATATCAAGAATGATTTAAATATGATCCAGGAGAAAGGCACAATTGATTTTGATGGTAAAAATGTTAAATGAGGGTTTTCCTTTTTGAGACCTCGATTGGCATTTCATTTTTTTTTGGGGCGAAAAAGGAGAAGAACGGTGTCGACAACATTTCTAACGCTGATTCAGACGATTGGGAAAAAGAGAGGCTCCCTCAGAAGCCTTTTTTCCTTTTTTTTTCACCCAATCGAATCGACAATCATCGCCACACGTAAAGAGAAATCACGCTTTTGCAACATTTGATTTTTTTTGGCAAAACAATGATAATTCTTTGCCTAGCAATAAGCTAAAGCTCTAGAAACACGAAAAGAAACAAGCTACAAAGTTATACAGCTCACCGGCCGTATTGTTGACGATTATTTTTGGTGTCAGCTCGTTTTTAATGAATTTGCTATTCATTTCGCAGAAAGTTCTCGATAACTTTGTACTAGTTTTCAAGAGGAGATTCGTGGCTATCGAATGACTATAATAGTTTAGTTTAACTGTGAATTTACCCCAAATTATTCACCAAACAGTTAACGACTACGCGGCTGTACGCTCAAAATACCTCTGTCGCAAATTCAAAGATGGTTTAAAACTGTTTCGACTTTATTGGGGCACGTAAATGTTCTGTATACAGCTTGTCAGACTTTGATAAATCTTTGAATTCGAAGCTTTGAACCAACAAAAGTGAACGACTACAAAGTTGAAATTCAATTAAACAGAAAGCTCACCGATCACAGTTCGATTCGAGATCCTCAACGAAACAACTTATAGTTGCAATTTGGTTGAAAAGCCAAAAGAAAATGAGACAGTTCCCGTTCGAACTCTTGACCCTCAGCTTGCTGTACTACCACTCAACCATTAGGCCACGGACGAAGGGTTTGCGTTAGAAAAACTTGGCTTAAAAAGGAGGAGAAAGGCTCAAAACTTTTATGCAAGTTTGGCGGTGATTATCCTATTCGGCAGCTAATTTTTACATCATTGGAATCAGCGTAAAATTCTGCGTAGAATGGTTTATATATCATCGGAAAGGCCACGAGACTCAATCATTCTTCCCATGTTAGTTAAGACTATTTATCCTACAATTAGAAAAGTTTCTACACATACCGATAAACGATACCAAACAATACTGATATCTAACGATATCACGCTAAATTATCGATAGTTTTCGATAAGATTAGGACTAGGCTCTGGGATTGAACTCACTGAGCTCTGAACTCACTAAACAAACGGAAATATTTGAGTAACATTGGCCACAAGTAACCAATTGTAGCTTTTCAATTGTAGCTAAATCCTTGCAACCAATTGTAGCTTTTCAACGCTCAAACTCACTTCGACAACACCTCCATCAGCTCATTATAGTCCATATTGTTTTTGTAGGGAATAATTCAATTGATCTCAAGTGAAATTGAGGGAAAACTGGGTTGAGGGGCCAATTGTCGAGGTGAATTTCTCTTTTTCTTGGGGATTCTTGGGTTCGACTCTTAAAGAGAAAAGAGACCAAATGATGTGATAAAGGCTTGTTACAGTGTGGAGAAAAGAAAGAATGGATTGGGTAAGCGAGGGGAATTCCTTTGGGTCTTTATCCTTTCTCTTTTCAATCCATCATCCATAAGTGCCAATGATTGGAAAAGAGGTTAAAAGAAAAGCACCTGTTCTCATGGAAATTTGTGTTTTATGTGGTTTTGTGGGTGAAAATTTACGTTTTATAGTAGAAAGATGGGAGATTAAGCTTTGATTTCTAATTTCTAAGCAATCTTTAGCAATCTTTAGCAATCTTTAGACAGCTTTTAGACAGCTCTTAGCCAGAAAAGACAAAAAAAAAGACAAAAATCTTAGAGAAAGAAATGAAACTCATTAAAGAAGTGAAAAAAAGCAACGAGAATTTCGATTGGATCGTTTGCAAGCCTCGTTTACATCAGCTTTAATAAATTTGAAATGATTCGGATCAAACAACAAACTCGTATCAGACTCAGAGTTTGATTGAAACTATCATTTATTTTTCAATCACTGAAGACTTACCGTAAAGTAAATACTGTAATAGTACCGCACCCCCATAATGACGGTGCGGAGTGTTGCGTAGTCTAGCTTTGAACGAGTTTTTCTCGACACTGGTTTATGCTACAATGCGCGCTTAGGTATCAAAAAATAGCCCTGAATTTCAGCTATTTTTTGATACCAAAGACGCATTTTTTGAAAGTACGGGCGCTTTGAAAAAAATGAAATACTAAAAACTTTTGCGACTACGCGACTGTACGAGGGGGGTGGGGTACTATTACAGTATTTACGGTAAATCGTTTAGCAAAACTTATTTTAACGTCACTCTTTATTGAAATTTGTTTAAATGATGATTTGTGAAAGATTGTGGTGAGATTACACTCAGCAAATCCCTCAATTCACAGTTCGCGCATCCATTCCCCCGAATCGACGACAGAAATGACTGATTATGAGTAATTGATTCGTGATTGCAAGGAGAATCATTTTCAAGTACTTGAGATTTTCAAGTACCAATTTAAAACCATTGAATATGCAAATACATGTTGTTAAAACAGACGTGATTGCAATGTTCTCCTTCAAAATTTGTACTTTTTTGGTTGGATCGATGTTTCGGTCCATTACAAGTCAAAGATGAAACGTTTTTCAAAACAAGGAAGTAGAAAAAAAAGACATTAAACATTTTGAAACATTTTGAAACAAAAAACAACATTTTGTAAGCATTAAAAAAAGAAAATCAAGTAAAACAAAATGACTATTGCCTTTCGAATCGAAAATTCTTATCAGTTTTCAGTAAGCATCTAAAATGAAAAAGAAAAAGCAAAAAGAGAAAGAAATTTTTGAAGAAATCAGAAGGGAAAAGTAAAGCTAGTGAGAAAATTTGAATGAGAAAAACGAAAAGAAGTGCTTTATTTTCAATGTTAATCGATTTAAATCGATTTAAATTGAAATCAGCTTTTATAATTGATCAATACCAAGCCAAATTGGTTTTTTAGATCTTGAAATTGAAATTTTAAGATGAAATTTTAAGCCCAAATGATCTTGAAGCTCTAGTGGATCCTTGACGTTATCTGTGCTACCCATAAATTACATGCCATAAATACTGTAATAGTACCCCACCCCCCTTGTACAGTCGCGTAGTCGCAAAAGTTTTTTAGTATTTCATTTTTTTCAAAGCGCCCGTACTTTCAAAAAATGCGTCTTTGGTATCAAAAAATAGCTGAAATTCAGGGCTATTTTTTGATACATAAGCGCGCATTGTAGCATAAACCAGTGTCGAGAAAAACTCGTTCAAAGCTAGACTACCCAACACTCCGCACCGTCATTATGGGGGTGGGGTACTATTACAGTATTTACGTTATATTATATCGTGTTGCTTTTTATCGGCCCTTTTCGTGTTATGTGTATGAACAATAAGAAATGCCAGAATTTGGAATCGACTACCCAGAGTTTTGAGAGAGTCCAATAGTCTCGAAACCTTTAAATTATCTGTAGATGATCTTGATCTTGAAGCTCTAGTGGATTCTTGACGTTATCTGTGCTACCCATATATTACATCTATTATATCGTGTTGCTTTTTATCGGCCCTTTTCGTGTTATGTGGATGAATTCATGTGTATTAACCTTAAATCTAGCGCACTTTATCTCGGGTCCTGAATAAAATATCTACAGTATTGGACAATGAAATATGATATTTGAAAAACGATCATCACTTTCGCGCGTCTGTAACTCCCTTGTCTTTGCGTTTAAACTATTAGTGTTATACATTTTCTGAAAGCTCTTTTCAAGGGCTACACAATCGTAATATTAATATTTAAAAATACGATAAAGACAAGGGAGTTACCGACGCGCGAAAGTGACGATCTTTTTCAAATATGATATTTCATTGTCCAGTAGTGTATATAAAAGCTTAAGACAAGTATTTGACCAATTTAAAATCACTAGATATGAAAATAAATGAAGATAGAAGTATTTGACTAATTTTAACCTTTTAGCTTTAACCTTTAAAACTTTCTATCAGAAGATAGAAATATTCTAATCAATAAAAGGTATTCAAATCCAGAAATCTCTCAAAAAAAAAGTCGCAAAATTGAGAAGTCTAGAACTTTTCTAATAGTAAGCGTATAAAAATACAAAAAAAAAACATTGAAAAGTGATCGTTTCCCTCTTGTCTCTTATCGAATAAATAATGAATTCATGTTGTGGACAAAATTTATCGAAAATTCCTCTTCTTTTCTTTGATCGATCGAATACAGACAGGCTTTTGCCCTTGTCGAGTGCAGATTTATTAAAGAAAAACTTTAAAGCTTTATTTATATTCAAAACTTTAAAGCTTTATTTATAAATCATTCAAAAACATCACTCTACACGATTTTCTCTAAATTCTGATATTTAAAATAATAAATATCTAATATCTAATATAAAATATCTAATATAAAATATCTAATATTAAATATCTAATATAAAATATCTAATATCTAATATTTAATATCTAATATCTAATAAATATTTAAAGAAATAATTTTCAAGTTTGTGTCGCTCGCAAATACTTTTTAAAAATGGCTATTGATCTGAGGGTCGCTAGTTCGACTTCCACCGGTGACAATATTTTTCAAAAAATTTTTGCTAAGATTCTGAAAATGCGTGTCTAGGGGTTATTTTTGACGCCGATCACGAAACACATGTTTTTAGCCTAGGTTTCTGCACGGAAAACTAACGAAACGTGAAAACAGCCATTTTTTGGCTCTCCCGCCCCTTACTAAAATAGCTGTAAAAACTTTTAGAAAAGAGATATCTCAAAACGGTTTTTACCAATCGATCCGTCTTGAATTCAGCTTTAGGATGAGCTATAAAACGTCAAAATTCGACAAATTTAAGGTACTCTCCCAAAAAATCGGAAAGAACTTTTCCATCAACCCAATACTTTTTAAAAATGAATCTGAATCAAACCTATAAGCTTATAAATAATCAATAGTTTTGCTTTAACATTTAAGACAAGATAAAACAAAAAATGAAACGTGTTCTATCAGAAATCGACCTAAAGTGAACATTTATGTCATGAAGTTGATTTATGACAAGAAAATTACCCTGTGAAGAAAAAAAAAGCGACAAAAAGCTTTATGAGAGCTGCAAGCTCCGCCAGCTATGAAAATTCTTGGCTGGCTAAACTTTACTCATCATCATTGTTAAATTTTTAACGTTAAACATAATATCTACTATCGTATTCTCTCTAATACAGTGCGTTTCAAATTCTTAAACGCACCCTCTAAAACAGCGAGTTTTGCATTTTGACCACCGCTACAACTATTAATCTTTTTCTATTAGAAAGAGCATTAAAAAAAGTCTTAAAACCTAAAAAACACGAAAAATAAGCATACTGTAAAAAGTAAAAATCAACCATTTCAAATTCTTAAACCCACCCGCCTTTGCTTTTGTTATTTGAAATTTTTCGTTTTGTTGTGCATATTTCTTTATTAAATTTATAATTTTTGTTAATTTCCAGGTAAATGGCACACGGAAAGCTGCTCACGAATTATGAGAAAGGCCAGATTGATGCCCGTTTGAGGATTGCCTTATTGACTCAATAAGGAAAATCGCAAAAAATTTGGGCCGATCCGATTTTAATTCCAATAGCGTTAGCCATCATTCGATCATTGTTACCGTATTCTCTCTAATAGTAGTGCACCCTAAGCTTCGTTTAAATTCCTCGAAATCTCGAAAACCGCTGACCAGAACCTATCGATGTGGGGTCGGAAAATGTAGCTGTCCTTAACTCATAAAAGCTTTTATGAGTTAAGAACAGCCATCGGAGATTACCGTAACCCTAATTGGTGTACAATAATGCTGACCCAATGGCAGCGCGATAGGAATCGACTAGTGCTCATTCAAGGACTTGTTAAATCAGTTGTATCCATCCGATTGGAAAGTTTTTAGTAGAAAAATATAGACAAGATTAAGGGCTACATTTCTCTACATAATACTTGATACTTTGGAATAAATTTAGCGTGCGACAGTTACTTTTCCAAAAGTTGTCCGGATAGTTTTGCCCAATCCTGGTTTAACCGGAAAGTCTTGTCCGTATTTTTGAAATTTTCGCTTACAAATGAATAGCTAGCCAATAAAATGTGTGATTTTCTTTAAATAAAAGATAAATAAAAGATATCTTTAAAAAGATTAACTACCGTATTCTCTCTAATAGTAGTGCACCTTGAGCGTCGCCTAAATTGCTCGAAATCTCGAAAACCGTTGATCAGAACCTATCGATGTGGGGTCGGAAAATGTAGCTGACGATGAGATCTTGTGGGGGATTTGAGTGTTGAGCTTCTGGGAAAACTTGGAAACCGTAAAATAGTCATCAACTCGGCTCACTACTATTAGAAAGGATACGGTATATATGAAAGAGCAGTGTTTGTCTGTCTAAGGGCTGTCTGTCTGCCAGTACAAGCATTTTCTCGGCCATGTCTGTCACCAATAAAGCTAAAACTTCTTCAAAAACCTTCGAATATCTTGTAGTGGTGCAATTTAAAAGTCCAAGTTTGGGTGAAACACCCGGAAATTGAACCCAATTGCTCTAAGCACTGAGCTATCCAGTACTTTTTGAGTATTGAGTATTGAGCCGTCTGAGCAGTAGGCAAGTGCGCTCCTGACTGCGCCACGGCGACGAATGCTCAGCGGCAAGAAAAACCAGCTGTTAACCGTTTCGGCTGGTTAAAGCAGCAAGTTGTGGATCTACTTGTAAAGTTTTGCTACCTATTGGATATTTCGTCTAATGAAAGTCGCCTTAGCCGTCTTTAATCTAGAAGCCACTATGACCGACTGGCTAAGGGCCCCGTATCTAGATCGGGAATCCCGGTCGATAGATTATTTCTTGTTTTTTCCATATATTTTTGTTTCCCACATCTAGGGCTTAGGGGTTGTGCTTTTGTTTGTACCACATTATTCGTGGGAATAAATGTTTTTTAGATCTTAAACGCACACTTCCTGGCACAATCCGCACACTCCTTCCTTGTTCTCGATCAAGGCTTTTATATGTGCTGCCTTCAAATAAATATCGAATTCGATCAAGAATGTTTATTTCCAATCATCACAAAAATCTAAAATTGTTGAGAATTTGTCTTTTTATTAAAATGTAATACTTTCACTCGAGCACCATCTAGTGAACTTTTATTTTTCAGTAAATTCGAAAATATTTTAAATGACATTGTAATTTACAAGACAAGAGCCATAGCCGCCACTCCTAAAGCCATCAATGATTGAAGTGATTGAGCTGAGTTGAAGAAACGCTGATTTGGGTTCATCGTTCTGAAAATGGTAGGTATAGGTTTGGAAATGAATTTTGGATACATTTGCTGTAAGAAGAGTATATTCTCATCTAATTACAGTATACCAGAATAAAAGAAAAGTAAAAAAAAAGTCTTTAAAACATTTATTTTGGCATACTATAGTGAGACTGGAAATACTAAATTCATAAAAAAAAGAACTTACGATGTCGAGGTGAATCCGAAAGGTTGATTTTGTTGGAATCTGAAATGATAGGAGATTTTTAGCTTTAAACAAATGACTCCTTTAGCTTACGAAAACCCAGGATTTCTTTCTTTCTTTCTTCCTTTCTTTCTTCCTTTCTTTCTTTCTTTCTTTCTTCTTCCCCTCTTGTCTTTCCCTGTTTCTCTTGACAAGTTAAAGTACTGGATAGCTCAGTGCTTAGAGCAATTGGGTTAGAGCAGGTTAGAGCAATTGCCCGGAAATCAAAAGGTCGAGGATTCAATCCCCTCTACCATTTCTTGCCAATTCTTTCACTTTTTTATTACTTTATTACCTGCTTGTGGTTCCATATTGAGTATTTTGTTGTTGTCCGTATTGATTTTGTTGTTGACCATATTGTTGTTGTTGCTGGGGATATTGTTGATTACTGGAAATTTGATTCAGTAAATTCAGTAAAGATTCATTTTATTTAAAAGAGTTTAAAAGTTCGTATTTAAATTGACACTCACTTATTCGAGTATTGATTGAATCGTGTCGGCTGGGAAGATTGAGACATTGGGGCAAACTGGAAAATGGATAGAGATGGATATTTTTTTTTGATAATTTGGCGCCTGCTTGGAATCTCTTTATATCTTTGCATCATCTCTTTAACCCAATATCTTTAAGCATCTTGCATCATCCATCTCTTTATATCTTTATATCATTAAAATCTTTGTATGGCTATAAGTAAAACTATCCAGGAAATTTGTGTTTTTGAAATGATGGATCACTCTGAACCCTGAACTCTGCCTCTGACTCTGAACTCTGACTCTGACTCTGACTCTGAACTCTGACTCTGAACTCTGACTCTGACTCTGAACTCTGGCTCTGAACGCTACCATAAACATTTCTTCTGATTCTTTCTTCAGGAAGACAGTCTTTTTAACACATTCACAACGATACGACTCACCGGTCGGACTGTTGAAGTCTTGGTACATTGTTTTGGTACATTGTTTATGTTTGTAATTGTACTCCCAACCTGTCCCTGTTGTCCTTGTTGTCCTTGTTGTCCTTGTTGTTGAGCGAAAGCGATCGCGACAAAAGCTAAGCAAATGAGGGTGAGTCGTTCCATTATCTGAAAATTCACTCATATAAGAAAGATATAAGAAAGATATGAGAAAGATAAAAGAAAAAAAAAGAAATGATGAAGACAATTCTAGAAGTAAACCTGCTAAACTAAAGTATGTAAACAAAAAAAGCAAAGAGTTTCACAAAATACAGTATCTTTCGGTGAGTGTGCAATGGAAAGGGCAAAAAAAGTGTTAGTGTTCTTTCTTATATACTTGCCAGATTTTCGGTGAATAGAGTAGAAGTGACCACACCTATTCAGAAAAGAAAAGAAAAGAAAAGAAAAGAAACAGAGTTGGAAAAGGGAGAGAAAAGATTGGAGACGATCTGGATAAAGAATGCAAATAGATTCAAGAAGAAGAGAAGTGTCAAAGTTGGAGAAAGAGATTTGAGAATGGAAAAGTGCTGGGAGTAGAATGGGAGTAACAGAATATCGAAAAAGATGTAATACAGATAAAACAGAGACACAGACAGACAGACAGACAGACAGACAGACAGACGACAGACAGACAGACAGACAGGCAGGCAGGCAGACAGACAGGCAGACAGACAGACAGACAGACAGGCAGACAGGCAGACAGGCAGGCAGACAGGCAGGCAGGCAGCAGGCAGGCAGGCAGGCAGACAGGCAGGCAGACAGACAGACAGGCAGACAGACAGACAGACAGACAGACGTTACAGTAAATCTTGGCTAATGCATCTTCTAAAAGGAAACTATTTTAGAAAACTATCGTAATCAAGCCGCCAATACCAAACCGTACATTCGATCATCCAGGTTTTCATTGATTGATTGGTTTTCATTGATTCATCATTGACTGAGCCTTCTGATTCTTCATCGAATCATACCAAAATTGAGCTAATCCAATGTAAACTTTCCAATTGACTGGTTTTCTAAAATAATGCTTTCTAGAAATGCTGCTTTTTAGAAAGCAGAATCCAATGCACGTTCTGACAAGATTTATTTCATTTTCTTCACTTTTGAATTTACTCCTTTTCCTAATGGCTAATGCGTCTTCCCTGCGCTCTTTTCTGTTATTCAAATTACGAGCTGGTCTATCGTTTTTTATCCTTACAATTTTTCCTATGTTTGTAAGTAAATTTCTAAATCTTTTTTAGGTAAATAATGATGAGTTAATTCGTTGCCTTATTGGCAATAAATGTTACGACAAATATGCTGAAATCTGCACAAATCGATGTGAGAAGAAGGTACACCATCAGATGAAAGTGAAGCAGATGCACCATCTGCTTCAAATCAAACGTTATCTGCAATAGTCGTTGCCACCACAACAATCATTGCAACAATAAGTCAAATCACCATATTTTCAGCTTATTAGTAGATTGTGATACGTAGTTTTGTTGATTGTGATTCAAGAATGTTTCAAGATGTTTTAAATGGAGATTAAATATCATTATATTAAGCCGTTAAGCTAAAAAAGAGCAATTTCTTCTAATGGCAGTTGTTTTAAATTTTAAATCATATCGGCTAGTCAAAAAGGTTTCAAACTTCTTCGGCTTACCGAGAAAATTCAAACCTTTTTGGCTAGCCGATAAGATTTTAAAACTTTTCGCCTAGGACAGATACACAAAAACAAACAAAAGTTGTAGATGAAAGTGAAAAGAGATGTTTAAAACCTGAACAGGAGAAAAGAAAATGAGAAGAAAGACTCCTTTGCTTGAGGACCCGATTCTTATCCTTTTTTCTTTTCTCATTGCATTCATTTTTCCTTCCAAACACTGAGAAAAGGGGTGAAAACATTCTGAAGAGAGAAAATCCGTCGACTTTTCACTTTGAGAAATATTTGAAGAATTTTCGGATATAAAAGTAAATAGCAACGAAATAAATAACTTTTTTGGTAAACGTCATTTTTTGAGTCTAGAAAAGAAATGTTTTGAAGTTGAATTTTGTTCTTGCAGGGCAACTGTTTGGGATTAGTTTGACAGGGTTTTTTGGGATATTCTAGACTGTTTGCCCAGGGGATTCGGATTTTATATATGTTACGTTCGATCTAGACTGATTCTAGGTCGGATGGTCGGACGATCTAGACTGATTCTAGGTCCGACGTCCGATCTAGAATCAAGCCGATCACTCTAAATCTAAGTCTGGATTGGAGGTCTGATTTAGAGTGATCGGCTTGATTCTAGATCGGACGTTTTTTGAGTCTAGAAAAGAAATGTTTTGAAGTTGAATTTTGTTCTTGCAGGGCAACTGTTTGGGACTAGTTTGACAGGGTTTTTGGGATATTCTAGACTGTTTGCCCAGGCCATTCGGATTTTATATATGTTACGTTCGATCTAGACTAATTCTAGGTCCGACGTCCGATCTAGAATCAAGCCGATCACTCTAAATCTAAGTCTGGATTGGAGGTCTGATTTAGAGTGATCGACTTGATTCTAGATCGGACGTTTGACCTCACTTCACTCGGAAATTCGATCTAGAATCAATCTAGATCGGGCATAACATATAGATAATATTGTCTAGATATCTAGATATAGATCATTAGCTTTTCATTTATCGTAAACACCACGAACAAACGATTCTGAAGCTCACTCTTTCAACATAAACCTAAAAATCTCTAAAATAATCAAACGAAAATGAACTCAAAAGAACGAGAATGAAGAAGTGATAATTTCTTGGCATACTTCTAGCAATTGAAATAGAAACTCAGAAAAAAGAATGTGTCTTAACGTATCTTAACGTAAAAATCCCCAAAATCTAAAATCTTTCATGATCAACACCAAACTTTTCACCTCTCAATTTCACCTTTTATATTCAATCCTTTGATGAGCCTTTCCCATCAAAGAAAAGACCAAAAAAAACCAATATTGACCCAATGAAAAAGTCTCGTAGTTGACTTTATATTGACAAAACTTTTCGAGTTTCATTTAGAGATTGGATTATAAACGGTGGAAAGGAGAAGATGATTGCTGATGATGTTAATTCTTATTTGTTTCGAAGTAAAGGACAAATAAAGGTCACATTTGAAGAAGCGAAATGACAAAAAGGAAAAAATAAATATTGATACACTTGTAGACTTTTGAGATGAAGGGAAAGGGGGACAGTGAGGAGAAGTCGTTGATCAAATATATAAAATTTGAAAGATGGAGAAGGGAGAAGCGCAAAAGCGCATGATTTGGGTAATGAGTTGAAAAATTAACGGGGAATTTGTATTTCATGCAAAAAAAATATGCATTTGTTTATCATTGAAACAGTTTTAGACATTATAAAATTGCAAAAAAAAACACTGAAAATTTGCTAGGCAAGTTGTGTTTTCTTTTTTAACACATTCGCGACGAGGCGTTTTTTTTTGCGCTACTTTTGCCCCAGTGGACGAGGGGTGTCTCGCAAAGCTATTAGCCCCGAAATACACCTCCTAAATGTAAAATTTCATGCTGAATCCGAATCTCTAATCAGATTTTGAAAATATTCCTGCCTCAAAAAGATATCGGCTCTTTTTGGCTCGTGAAACAAAACGCCGCATTTCTCTTTCTCCAATGGTCTGCTTTCCACGATTTTTGTTTTATTGGATGGAGCTAGATGAACATTTCATATCAACATCATTTTTTGATAAGACTTTATCCCAAAAAGGTTATTTTACTGGGATACGCGCAATAGAGGTCTTCTATAGCGCAGTCGGTAGAGCGTCTGTCTCTGGAGCGGGAGGGGTTTCGTCTGGTGGACCACAATTTAGTCCCCGGCCCCACAATTTAGTCCACCGGACGGCCCAGGTCCCAGGGACCAGACGACCTTCGTCCACCCGTGGACCGAATCGTCCCGAACGTGTTAAGTACAAAACGTATCTTAAAGAATCGGTTTAATCGAAAAGAAACAAGATTACTTTTCAAAAATGCAAACACACTGTATTCAGTGCACTTTTCATATTTCTTTCTTTATATTTAATAAATTCCTTTAGAAAAATTGAAGAACAAGTACAAGTACAAGTCTATTTAACTTTAAATTAAACAAAACAATCATTTGTACTCATATTTGCGTATTTTTTTACGCAAACTGTTTTTTTATTTTTATTTTTATATTTTTCACCCCTTTGATTTATTTTTTTTCGGAAAATCAAAGGCAAATAAACAGAAAGCCAATTGAGATGAGAAATGAGAAAATAAATAAACAAAATCTCTATTGAGTCACAAATTTGCGAATTTGAACTTTTCGACGAAATTTCTCTTGTAGAAATAACTATTTATTTCGAAAACACTGTCTAGAGAACATAATAAAACAATGAAACAATCCAAGTTTATTGGTTGATGTAATCGGATACTTGGTTAACAAATGAGAAAAAAAGATTAGCTAAAGATTGGTTACAAAGAAATAAATCGGAGATTAATTGGCAATCCGGTGATAGAATCTAAAATATTGGGTTGGCGAATTGAAAACTGCCGGACTTTGAACTAAAATTTATTCAACATAAAACCATGAATTCATTCCAAATGATTTTATTATTATTGACGACTTCTGCCCATTTTACAGGCAATTTGCGGATTCCTCTTTCGTGGTAGGATTTTGGTTTGTGTGTGAGACAAGTGTGAGACTCAAAAATCGAGGACTCGAGATGTCCCAGTTTGAACATTTGAGCACTTTCTTCAAAAGAAACCCATTTTGGTATCAATGGAAAAGTTGTAGAGAATCAAAAATTAGGCTTATAGCCAAATTTCCAAAAAGATACACTTAGTAGTTTCGCTTAAAATGCAAGTTTTGTGAAAATTCGTAAATTTGGCATTTCTTCAAAACCAGTTTTTGAATTGTTCTGAAAATTTGGATATAAGGTTGATTTTTGATTCTCTACAACTTTTCCATTGACACCAAAATGGGTTTCTTTTGAAGAAAGTGCTCAAACTGTCACATATGACAATAGTCCGCAGTTTTCAATTCACCAACCCAATGGTTTTTTACAGAGTGTAGGTGGCCACCGGTGCCCATATCCCAACGATTGAAAAACGCCATTTAAAGCTTCAATTCTTTAGTTCGATGAATCCTCGACTTTTGTGACAGCAAGAAATGTTCTTGGAGCAAATGTTTATCATGTTTTGAGTAGGCAATGCTGAAAAGCCTATCTACTTTTATATTTTGATATGTGAAGTTGAGAAAAATTTAGAAAATTTAGAGTTTTTTTTACTGTTGGATCTGTAATTCTTCAAGGAGGAGACATGGAAGTTTTTGTGAATTGTAGAAATAATCTTTGAAGTTTTTTACATCTGAAAAACTTGGTTTCAGTAGCATCTCTTCTGTTAAACTACTTTTTCTAGTCTTTATAAATTTCCAATGTAAAGTCCCTATAATTTTGTCCGGCAAAGTTTGTTAAGCAAAAATTTGTATGAAGAAGTTCGTGTTCTTTTTTTATTGATGGTTGATACTTTAGATTTATGAAAAACTAATAACTCAACTTTGGACTTTTGCTTAATTTCAAGAATCGATTGGTCATTGCTCCGCTAAAAACTCTTGATCTTGATCCTAAAATTTTGTTCGGCACTGTTACGCCTGAATCCGCTCAAGCGCCCAGATCGGATCACATTTTGGTTTATGATCCGATATGGGCGCCCGAATCCGATCATAATCAATTTTGAATGCAAATTGCAAGAAATGCAAAGAAGAGAGTTCTGTTAGGCTTTTCTGTTCTAATCTTAAAGCATTTAAACCAGGTAAACCAGACCAGAAGCTCTTTCCAAATCTGACTTCTAGTTTTGGCCTTTTGTGGATCAAGCTTGTAGCAAAGCAGAGCTAATCAAGAGTTCATTACATGAAAATATACATGGGCTTTTTGTAGAAAACGAGTCAGTCCCACGTTTTAGCAAACAACTTTTGTTTTCTAAAGCTCAAAATAGCATTTTATTCACGCTTTAGAAAACAAGAGCCGTTTGGAGCTGACTCGTTTTCTACAAAAAGCCCATATCTACATGAAAATCAATCAACGATGCAACGAGACAGCTGAAAGTTTAAAAGCTTAAGGTTACCAAAAGAAAACTCAGCAATTTCACTCATCATCTGATCTTTTCTCTTCATTTCCCCCAAATGATTCATAGAAAAAACACAGCTTTTCTTTTCAAAATAAATCCCTCTTTTTGACTGTAATTTCTGGCCGAAATCAATCAGAAAAAAGGAAAAGTTGAGTCGTTTTACTGAAGAAATCCTAAAAAGCAAAAGAAACTCCGAAAAATAAACAGAAATTTGGGGAACTCACCTGAAAAGAATTTCAAGAGATCGAGAGGGGAGAAATTGAGAAATCGTTTCTCTTCACACGGACGATTTTTGAGGGGTTTTTCGCACAAATGATCACTCTGTCAAACGTCAAAATCAAGAATTTCTGTGAAATGAAATGTTAGACGAAAAAGATTAAACCAGGGTTGGTCCGAAAATCGCCCCCTAGCCAATAAGAGCACGCCACGGAGCAGCGGCGTAAACGGAGTAGCGGCGTCCTCGAGGATAGTGTGCTGGACTACAGAACCCGTACCGCTCTTGAGGTGGGTTCGAGTCCCACCATCGACAAGAGTTTTTGCTTCCTTGAAAAACAGGCAAATATCATTTTTAAGGCTATTACAGTGCTTGTCGACACTAGGAAAAATTGAGCCCCAGCCAGGCCTCTCAGGCAATCCAATGTTACGGCCTCTAAAGCAAGGTTAAGGCCAATGTTAAGGCCTCTAAAGCAAATGTTACGTTTTTTCGGTATGTTTAAAATCTTTTTACTGTACCGTAAATCCCTAATCAACTCTACAATCAGTAAAAGTTGAAAGTTCAATCCATTTTTTTTCTTCTTTTTTTCAAGCAATAGCCCCAATGTTTTCTCGAGTTAAGTGCTAAGCTTTTCCCCACTTTTCCTGTGTTTTCTTTCCTTAAAAGAAGTTTCGATCTTTTGTTGACGAGAATCTACATAGAAAGACGATCCATTTGAGAAAAGAAAAGAAGATGGAGACGACACAAAACGACAAAAGGAAAACGAAAACAAAAAAAACTTTGTGCAGAACGAAGCGGACGGACAAATTTTGAGTGCTTTTATGAGAAGAGGCATTCCGGAAAGAAGTCATCGATTTTAAAGTTTTCTTTTAATTTCTTTAATCTGTCGAGTAACTTGCTTGTGTTAATGCTGAATTATGATATGCCAGCTATAATTTTTGGCTCTGTTCAATTACAGGATTACTTAAAAATTATCGGATCACTTAATAAAAGTCGGAAAAGAAAAAGGATCATTTATCTATATCTGTTATTAGTTTTTTGACTAGTGAATGCGGAGATTTTTGAAAAGCAATCAAAAAAACAAGAGAACTGAGAAATGATTGTAAAAAAAGAACGTTTTTGGGTCAAACGGGAACTTTTTGATCGATGGCTTTGAATGAAGTCGATGGCTTTGAATGAAGTCGACGGCTCCTTCCCCTTTACGGCTTCCAAACTACTTCCAAACTATGGTGCCTATCTATCTGGAGGGTCTGCCAGAAGGCGAGCGATTAGGCGCGAGCACAAAGAACACCTTGGCAGTCATTTACACAGGGATTTCTCTTTGTAAATGGCCCCAAAAAAAGATATTGAGCTGTGAATTTGTAGCCGGGGGTTTTCGGGGTCGGGGAATCGATTGGAGCTGTTCATTTTGTTGAGTCTGCCAATTCTCATTTCTAATCTCAAATCAGATCAAAGTATACAAGGCTGATTAGGGGTCAACGATTAGGGATTTTGATCGAAGTGTCGTTGTGAGTTTGAATATGGATTTTGATGAGAGATCTTGAAATAATCGCTCCATTCTCTGATCAAAAAACTGATAACAGATAGATATAGATAAAAGGGTTTTTTTAAAGTCATCCGACTTTTATTAAATCATCCTGTAATTGAATAGAGCCTATTTTTTTGACCTCACTAATACCCTCAAACGTTAATAAATGCTAATATTATTGCAGCAGACTTTACTAGAGTTTTTAGATTTTTTGAGCAGACTTATCTCCGATTGTTTACCGTTTGATATCTAACGGTAATTTTTATATGACCATAGAAGGTCAAGGAAAAACGTACACGTCCGGAAAAGAGCTTCAAATTTGGTAGAATCTGTTATTGGATAGGTGACGTGACGACAAAGCGTTTTTCCTGCAAAGACACCGTCACGGGAAATAGATCCACCGATGGCATTGTTTGTTTATTTGTTGTCTTTCATTTCTTGAGTATTCTCGGATTTCTTGCTATCCGCTTCTCACAATCCATCCAATATATTTTCAAAGCAGAGCTTTCAGATCTCATACGCCAAAATCCTATGCAAAATGATTTCAGATAAAATGCTCACAAGCAGTCAAAAACAAAGGATTTTCCTCGTTTTCTATTTTCTGTTCGAAATTTCTTCAGCCGAACCGTTATTCTCATTGAGTTGTCTCTTGATGGATTTCGCCCCGAAAATCGCTCAATATCTCTGTGATTTTGAGTGTCACGGAAAGGTGATTGTTTTTCAAAAATCATAATAAAGAAAGCTAAAGCCAATCTCTATCTAAACTTTGTTTTTACCCTTTAAAACAGGCTCAAATGAACGGTGGTTATTGTGCGAAACAATTCGAGCGACCCCGATGTTTTTGTCACTTTTTTTCGCCGATCGATCAACAGAATATGGTGAGATATAAAAGAATATCCAATAAAATGATATCAAAAGATATGCTTTTTTGTGTTCACGATCAAAAAGCGTACACTCTCCGGCACATTTGATTCGATTCAGTGCCTCTATGGCCGAATGGTTAGGAGTTTTGTATCCTAGTCGGGAGATCACAGGATCGATCTCAGCGGCTGGAAAAATTTGGCTTTTTTTCCCTTATACATGGGGTTTTCCCTCTGCAAAATCTTTAAGGCTATCAGGGCAATTGTAGATTTGTTTTTGTCACATTATTCATGTTGAATAAATGTTTACTTTCATCAGATCTGCATACAAAAAGTGCTTCCCGTCGTACCACTAGTTTAACTTGAAATTTTGAAACACACATCATATATTTGATAAACTTTCTGAACTGTTAGGCTAGTTTATTCAAATCCCTCACAGGTTAAGATAAAAATTTACGTTTAGTCCCAATCATTCTCCTAACTTTCGCTATATGAGTTACCAAAGTTGGCAAAAAAAGCCAAATTTCCAGGTAAAACCAAGCCAAGCCAAGCCAAACCGATCATTTTCCCAGCTTTTTGAGCCCAAGATGTTTACATAAACCTTTATTTGATTGTAGCCAAAGTACGGATCAAATCAAATCAAATTTTTCAGTATTTCGTTTACCCAATAAATAATCGATATTCAGTTGTTTGGCGGAGAGAAGAGTGAACTTTACCCGAATGGCGGTGGAGATGATTTGGTAAGTTTTGAATGATTGATAATGAATGGTTGATAATGAATGGTTGATAATGAATGGTTGATATGGTTAAAGAATAAAACAGCTCAAACAGCTCAAACAGCTCAGCTTTAAGTAACTCAATTTTACAGGCAATCCGTGATCTCTCATTTCTTCCATGGTTATCAATGAATCATTCGCCAATCGAGAAAAGCACGCAAAAACTCCCGAAAATTGAGTTCATTCGAGAAAACGATGAGAAAACCTGGGGAAACGATTGGATTTGATGCGTCGAAAACGACAGTGACATATCTTGTGAAACAAAACGATTTTGAAATGTTTCCAAATTTGCGAGTAAATGATGAAAAGAAGAAAATGAAAGGAGAAAGAGGAGAAGAAATGGAAAAGAAAGAAAAGAAAAGAGAAGAAAGAAGAAAAGAAAGAAGAAAAGATGAAAAAGATTGGAAAACTTTTGAAATAAATCATTATTTTTACTCTTAATAAATTTCTTTACTCAAAAGAATAAAATGCATGTTTCCCTTTGTCTTTACCACATTTTGGAGCCCTTACCCATCCATCCTCTGTGGTCAAATGGTAAAGTCCTCGCTTCTCACTCCACACAAGCCGGGTTCGATCCCCGGGCAGGTTCCTGCTGTTCTTGATATCAGAATCAATAACATCCTAAACACCTGCAAAACTAAGTTGACTTTTGTTTGACGGTGTGCATTTGTTTAATGTTCTCCGATAGAAAATTGTCGACATTTTATTTTTGAATTAAACTAACAACAAAAAAAAAAAAAAAATGAAATTATGCACCCGATATTGCGAAGAAACTCTCTCTCTCAAAATAATAATGAAATGAACATAAAATCAAAGAAAATCGGTTTATTTACCTAAAAAGGGATCAATTTTTCATTCGACATCAATCGTTTGTTTTGTAGAAGAGAAAATTGAATCGTTTACTTGAATATTTGTGTGTTTTGTCGAAAGACCCAACTTTGACATCTCTAATTGAAGAACTTTTTCCAATTCATAGCCGAATTTGATCTGAAAATGGTCGTTATTTGATGTTTACTGCTTACTTTCTTTACTTTATTTACTTTATTTACTGCTTTATTGCTTTACTTTAATAATTTACTGCTATACTTGGATGATTGGTTGAAAAATCTTGAAATATTGGGCTGGTGAATTGAAAACTGCGGGACTTTGAACTAAAGTTTATTGATCATAAAAGCATCAATTCATTCCAAATAATTTCCATTATTATTGTCGACTTCTGCCCATTTTACAGGCAATTACAAAGAAATAAATCGGAGATTAATTGGCAATCCGGTGATAGAATCTAAAATATTGGGTTGGCGAATTGAAAACTGCCGGACTTTGAACTAAAATTTATTCAACATAAAACCATGAATTCATTCCAAATGATTTTATTATTATTGACGACTTCTGCCCATTTTACGGGCAATTTGCGGGTTCCTCTTTCGTGGTAGGATTTTGGTTTGTGTGTGAGACAAGTGTGAGACTCAAAAATCGAGGACTCGAGTTGTCCCAGTTTGAGCACTTTCTTCAAAAGAAACCCATTTTGGTGTCAATAGAAAAGTTGTAGAGAATCAAAAATTAGGCTTATAGCCAAATTTCCAAAAAGATACACTTAGTAGTTTCGCTTAAAATGCAAGTTTTGTGAAAATTCGTAAATTTGGCATTTCTTGAAAACCAGTTTTTGAATCGTTCTGAAAATTTGGATATAAGTTTCATTTTTGATTCTCTACAACTTTTGCATTGACACCAAAATGGGTTTCTTTTGAAGAAAGTGCTCAAACTGTCACATATGACAATAGTCCGCAGTTTTCAATTCACCAACCCAATGGTTTTTTACAGAGTGTAGGTGGCCACCGGTGCCCATATCCCAACGATTGAAAAACGCCATTTAAAGCTTCAATTCTTCAATTTAAAGCTAGGCCGCTTTTTTCAATTCACCAATCCAATAAGTTTCCTTTAAAAGTTTATTTAAAAGTTTATTTAAAAATTTAGTAAACTTTAAAAGTTTAAAAGTCTATAGTGTATGCAAATTAGTCAATATAGTGTTAATACTTCAAAGAATTCAATATTTTCTTTTTTTTTGATGCAATCTTTCCAATTCTCACCTGATTAGCGACAAATGACGCAAAAATTGACCAAGCCTCATTTGCAACAGGACAATTTATCGATTTTTGTGATCCGTTTGGTGGGAGGGAAATATTTGGACGAATTGGTGGAGAATCCGAATCCGAGGAATTGTGTGGTGGAGTACCTGAAAGAAAATTCATTAGCTTTTTTTGGCTACAAGTCAATAAATCTTTTTAATCACTGAAATCAACTGTGCAGGAAAATTTTGATAAAATCAAATGGCTCCTTTTATGCTAAACGGCTAAAGAAGGGCAAAGGAGGCAAATGAGGCTTTAGAATGGGCATTACTTGACGTCTTACTTGACGCTTACGCTTAGGTCAAAAATTATTTGAAAACATTTACTCGAGTGTTACTCAATTAATTAAATACACTTGTTCTTGTGTATTTTTGTAAAATACCGTATTTTCTCTAATAGTAGTGCACCCCGGCGAGCCGAGTTGGTGACGATTTTACGGTTTCCAAGCTTTTGCAGAAGCTCAACACTCTAATCCCCCACTAGATCTCATCGTCAGCTACATTTTCCGATCCCACATCGATAGGTTCTGATAAGCGCTTTTCGAGATTTCGAGCAATTTAGACGACGCTCAAGGTGCACTACTATTAGAGAAAATACGGTATTATTCATGTAAATAAGTAAAATGTAGATGACTTTCTGTACAGCTCAGACTATCACATGCTCCTTTTAAACTCTTTTACTCTTTTACCAACCTCTAAGTGATCCATTTCTCATCAATCCATTCACTTTGTACATTGCTGAATCCGAGTGTCGACTGGGAAGATATCCATGCGGAATTGAGGATGGAAATCTGAGCATTTTTATGTTAAAACTTGCTCACCTTGTTAGAAATTTGTCTTTTATCAAATTTAGAATTGATTTATACTAGAGATCAATGTAATTTAAAGATGAATGTAGACTGATCAGTATCATTGAATGAATATCATTGAATTCATACAATTTTACCATCAACAACTGCTCAAATCCCAATCAAAACATCCCAACTCACCTATTTTCTGTGGGTCCAAAAGTGACTTCTCCTTTCGTCGTATTGGCAGAAATGGTCGATAGAGTGGAGCCTCGGTGAATGAGTGGATTGAAGTATTGATGAGACGAGTTTCCATTCGAAATCGCCGAATCGGTAGCCGAGGACGACGATGGATCGGCTGAGGGAGAACGATGACGCTGAAAATTCTGGTAACTAGCTATGGAAATTTTTGAATCTTCACAAAAAATAGTGTAGGAATTGAGCAATTCCTAGGTCTCACCTCATTCTCGGCAATCACAAAATCCTCGAAATCTTTCGCGGCATTGCACAGAGCAAGGGCTAGCTTCTCGAAATAGGCATTTGGTACACGATGTGATGAGTAAAGAGCACCGAAATCTCTGAAAAATGAAAAGATGTTGTAAATAATGATTTGAAAAACTTTGAAAGCTAAGTATAAGACTAAAGTTTCCAATTGTTACGACAATACGGCCCACCGGCTGTAGTGATTGGACCGCAAGAACCGTTTCTTTAGTTGAATTTCAATTTTTTTTATGACTATTTCTTGAATATGTTCATGTTTTTTGGCAATCGTAATTGTAAATATAATCTTAGAACGATTCGTAGTGGTTCGGCCGGGCATTCCCAGCGCGCGCACTTTGAATCATTATCAGAACTTTTAGGGAACAGTTGCCTTTGTTTACGACAATACGGCCCACCGAAGATTACTTTTGGTGTCGAGTTTTTAAGGATTTTGTTCTTCATTTCGCAGAAAGTTCTCGATAACTTTGTACTAGTTTTCAAGAGGATATTCAGGGCTATCGAATGACTAGAATAGTTTAGTTTATCTTTGAATCTTCACCAAATCTACTATATATAAAAGAACAGTGTCCGTTCGTCTGTTCCGGCTTTTTCTCTGCTGTCTTTTGGCCAAAAAAAAAAAGAAATTTGTTTTAAAAATCTCAAACTCTAAGATAGTTGTACCATTTCAAAGAAAAAATAGAAAATCCATGTTTAAGTGATGCTACGGGGGGTCGAACCCGAACCGTATGGGTCGTGGCGCAGTCCAGAGCGCGCTGGGCCGTATGGGTCGTAGACCAGCGCGCTCTCGACTGCGCCACGGTGACCCGGAATTCTCGGCCAGAAAAACCCGTCATTAGGTGGGTTTTTCAGCTAATTGAATGCAAAATGGCAGTTTAATTTAGCTTTTCAGGGTAGGTGTCTTTTGTATATTATCGCTCTTTATCCCTCCCTCTCATTTGCTGCCATGACCGACTGGTTAAGAGTATCTTAGTCGGGCGCTCAAGGGTTCAATCCCGGCGGCTAGATTATTGATTTTTTCCATATATATATATGGGGTTTTTTTCATTGCTACATTTTGGGCTTAAGGATTGTGTTTTTTTTTATTGTTTGTACCACACTATTACCTCAATACATCACACGCGGCTTGTGTGTCTCTCATTCGTCTCAAACATTCACAAATCGATGTGACGAAACGCTGAAAAATCTCGAGTTCTCGAAAAGAATTCAACTTTTTTATGTTATCTTTTTATGTTATTCTTTAAAGAGTATGAGAATTTGAATGTAAGCATCTTTTTGAGTTCTCTAGCGCTTTTTGAGCCCAAATCTCTAGAGGCCAATCTCTTTTTTTTGTGTCTTCATCATCATCAATTTTCACATCTCAACAAATCTCTTGGTCATAAAATGAAGATTTTTGGGTTCATGTAGATCTTGGGTTCAATTGGATTCGATTTTAGGTTTAATTTTTTTCTCTTTAAGCTTTCACCTGTGTGTGTAAACGAAAAGCGATATTTTTCTTCCAAAGCCCGGCTTGCGAGAGACCGATGAATGCGAGAAAATGGGGATTTTCGGCAAAAACTCCCTCGAATACACGTCTAAATTCAGAATTGAGACATTTAGAACTTTCTAAAGATGGGGAAATTTTAGAAGAAAAGTTTTTTCGAAAGGCTACAAAGTACAGAATGCGACAAAATTATGGAAACACATGTTTTTGAGTCTAACTCCAGTCTCTATAGAGTATCTTGTTCGGAGTTATGTATAACACTAGTTTTCTCGATATTTTTACAAGTAAGCGCTTAATCTAATATTGATCATTATATAGCAGAATTTGATGAGGAACTGAATTAAATTAAACGCAAGTCGATCGGACGCATGTAGGTCGAGATCTAAAGCCTCTGTCGTGTCTTTTGACCGGAGTTTTAGATCTCGACCTACAGGCGTTCGATCGAGTCTTCTCGTGCCTTAAATCAAATAATTTCTAGTACATCTTGAGTTATTTGCTTTAGGAAAAACATTATTGGACAAAGGTTTCCTAAAAGTTTTGATAATTATTCAAAGTGCGCGTGTCGGAAATGACCGAATGGTGATATTTCACGATTTTCGTCAGTGATTGGACCGCAAGAACCGTTTCTTTAATTGAATTTCAATTTTTTATGAGTATTTCTTGAATATGTTCATGTTTTTGGCAATCGTAATCTTAAAAAGAATCTTAGAACGATTCGTAGTGGTTCGGCCGGGCATTCCCAGCGCGCGCACTTTGAATCATTATCAGAACTTTTAGGGAACAGTTGCCTTTGTTTAATAATGTTTTTCCTAGAGCAAGAAACTCAGAAAAAGAATTATTTGATTTGAGACATCGAGTTAGACTCAATAAATCGATAAAATTACCATAATTCTGCCCATTCTGCCATTCTGCCCAAAGTTGACTAAAATATTGCCCGCCGGGATCAGCGGCGATAAAGTTAGCACTAATAACAAGCTTATTTCAAAAATAAGTAGCAAAATGACTAAACATCTTTAAATATATTATTTAAAATTGTAATTATATCAATTGTCTAGCTATTTTGTGGATTTGAATAGAATTTTCTTTTAAATAGATTCAACTCACTTTCCCATCTCGTAAAGCGCCGTGTTGTCCATTTTGCTCCACTTTTTCGCCAACAGAACTTTCTAAAGACTATATTATATTAATAATATATTATATTAATACTATATTATGTTAATAATATATTATATTAATAAATTTTAAAACACTGATCACTTTCTGTGAGAATTTGAATACCGTAAATACTGTAATAGTACCCCACCCCCATAATGACGGTGCGGAGCGTTGCGTAGTCTAGCTTTGAACGAGTTTTTCTCAATACTGGTTTATGCTACAATGCGCGCTTAGATATCAAAAAATAGCCCTGAATTTCAGCTATTTTTAGATATCAAAGACGCATTTTTTGAAAGTACGGGCGCTTTGAAAAAAATGAAATACTAAAAAACTTTTGCGACTACGCGACTGTACGAGGGGGGTGGGGTACTATTACAGTATTTACGGTATGTTACCTGATGAGCCGTTAATCCAGTGACCATGCACAGTGGACGGACTCGTTGCGATCTGAAAAGATCAAAATTATAGAAAAGTTTAGGTTTTTTTTGAATGATAAGTATTAATTAAAGCTTCTTTCTTAAAAATCAATACTCTTGTTGAATCTTTTTACATCTCTTGTTGAATATCCTCACCGATCTTTCACTCGACACGTTTTACTTCGTCGAATCAACGGTTGATCGGATCGAATCGAGTTGTTCGTTTGATTGTTTTTTCTGAAAAGTGACAATTTAAAGAAATTATGGTCCGAATATATGATTTGTTTTTGTCTTATGACTATTTTTTGCTGACTTTAAACTGTTGCTGCGCTTTTGTTCGGACGGCGGTGATGGAGAGCCGCTTTTTCGTTGAGATGATCGACGACTGAAAATTTGAGTTTATTAAAGTTAGAAATTTATCAATCTTTAGTCTAATGTTTAAATAAAAAGAATAAGACTTGTAAGGATCGAAAACTTTGCTTTAAAAGCTCCAAAGTTAGCTCCAAAAGCTCTAAAGTTAGCTTCAAAGCTAAAAAATTACTCATTTTTTAAACCAAAAGTTTCAAATTCGATTCTAACCTTAAAAAGAGTATTTAAATGAATTTTTAGATAATTTCCAAGTAAATAAATATTAATAAATAAAGATCTAATAGATAAATAGATAAATAGATAAATAGATCTAATAGATAGATTGTGATTTGAGATAGCTCAGATATAGCTTATCCAGTCTCTCACCTCAACGAGCCATAGCTATTAAAGTGATTAAATCTCGTTTTTCCGCTGTACAGACACCAGTTATTTGACAAAAACCGAAAGGTGAGCAAAATAATGGGAAAGATGATCAGATTATCATAATAAAGTTTGAAATTTCCTGATTTTTGAGACAATAAAGGCAAAGATTTAAGTAAATAAGAGTTTTAATCGGAGATTGAGATTGAGATTGAGATCGGGAATTGATTGACTTCTTAATATATATATGTATACATATATACATATATAGATATACAGTATTTGAAAAACGATCGTCATTTTCGCGCGTCTGTAACTCCCTTGTCTTTGAGTTTAAACTATTAGTGTTGTACATTTTCTGAAAGCTCTTTTCAAGGGCTACACAATGGTAATATTAATATTTAGAAATACGGTAAAGACAAGGGAGTTACAGACGCACGAAAGTGACGATCATTTTTCAAATATGATATTTCATTGTCCAGTAGTGTAGCTTATCCAATCTCTCACCTCAACGAGCCATCTTGTGAAGATTCGATATTTCCCATTCGTAAATAAATTTCGTTGATCAGTGTGTAAATCTAAAAAGATATTCAATTCAAATCATTGTTCATTTCATTTTCGATAAAAAGCGGAACCAAATTCGGCGATTTCAAATCGAGCGGAATGCGGGAGAGAACCCAAAAAAGCACGAGGCTTTTAGGGTTTATTTAGAATCGAAAATTTTAGGTAAAGTTGGCAAAAAAAAGAATAAAACAAGTATGAATGGGAAAATAAAAAAGAGATTCAAGCGAAAAGAAAGAAAAAAAAGTGAATATTCGTTAAGAATGTTCAGCGAATGAAGGAAAATGAAGTAAGCTAATTGTGCTTTTCGTGGAAAAAGTGTTGTATTGTTGTTGTATTGTTTTTTCAACTTTTTAAGATTGAGGAAGAATCTTGGGAGTCTGGAGTTATGTTTTGCGAGGTTTTAGCTATCCGAACAGCTTAGTTTAAAGTTTTAGCTTAGTTTAAAGGTTTAAATGTTTGCATGAGTTCAAACTTGAGCCAGTAAACTCTAGGAAAGCCAGTGAACTCTAGGAAAGCCAGTGAACTCTAGGAAAGCCAGTGAACTCTAGGAAAGCCAGTGAACTCTAGGAAAGCCAGTGAACTCTAGGAAAGCCAGTGAACTCTAGGAAAGCCAGTGAACTCTAGGAAAGCCAGTGAACTCTAGGAAAGCCAGTGAACTCTAGGAAAGCCAGTGAACTCTAGGAAAGCCAGTGAACTCTAGGAAAGCCAGTGAACTCTAGGAAAATCTTCTAAACTAAAGCCTAAACTTAAATCTGCCGAAATTTTATTGTGATCGTGCTCAAAAAGCTAGGCTTTCATAACTAATTGGTTGCAAAAGTGTATTACAAGTCGTAGTGGACTGACCGCTTTTAGTTAGTTAGGCCTGCCCGAAGCCTGAACCCTTATCGACTCTATTAAGACTCTATCAACCAAAAAACACAAGTTTCCAAAGCTGCTAACTTTTAAAAACCCGAAAGGGGTTTAAATAAAAATGTTACTGTAACGAACAGCTCTTCTCATTTTAATATCCCCAAAAACTGTGAGTCAGCTGTGTAATCGGAGTCTGAGTGAGTCATTTGAAAAAAAAAATATTCTAAAAAGATTTTTTCAATGACAAAAGGGGTTTAAAATTCTTATATTCTTAAAATTTGAAATCAGAAAATGTCAAATGATTGTAAAAATTTAGACTCTAACAATTAGAGTGTCTTTCTCCCGAGTAATTCTTTTTTTTTTAAAGTACACTTGGGGAAAATGATCGTACTGCGAAAATTATTGTGAAAAGAGAAAAATTCTCGAGTGCCGCCTTATATACGGCTCCTTTTAAAGATATTCAACCGTTTAACTGATTTGGTGGGAAATTCCCTTCAAATGTAAAGATATTCAATTTACTCGACGTGTAAAGAGGATTACTTGTAGTTACTCGATCAAAAAAACGTCGATTAATCAAGTAAAAATTACTCATGCAGATTTTACTCGAGTTAATACTTACTCACGAGCAACACACTCTAAAAAGTAGCCTCTCCACGGCGAAGTTTCTATGTGTTTCTTATTTTTATTGGATGTAGAATCAAATTATCTACATTTAGCATATTTTGGGATCACTGAGTGCCGAGAAAAGCTCAGTTAACCTCTTGTAGTTACTCGATCAAAAAAAAACGTCGATTAATCAAGTAAAAATTACTCATGCAGATTTTACTCGAGTTTACTCCCAAAGAACTCCCAAATTACTCCCAAAGAACACACTTTATTCAAAACTAGAACTGAGCTAAAGATTATTGAAATAAATGAATTCAGCAAGCCAGTTGAATCCCGAGTTCTCATCACTTACAATGCGCTGGATGTGTCATCGGTATAGGAAAGGTTCACCGAATCATATCCCAAGCTCGAGTTCCCTCAAAATTCCAACAGGTTCAAGTTTCAAAAAACGAAAGGTAAGGTAAAGAAAAACAAAAGAAAAAAAAACAGAAGGCGAAGGGGAGGAGTGAGGGAAAGGGGAGGAATGGGAGGAATGGGCAGTGAAGGGCCGTTCACTCCTCCCTTCCCCCTCCCCCCCCCTCCCCTCAATCCTATCACCCCAAATGTCTGAGCTCTCAGAAGATCTCCCCATTCTCCAATCTCATTCAAAAAGACAAAGACAAGAGAAAACATCAAAATCTCAAAAAGAAATCCGCTTTCCCAAAGGTTGGGCCAACTTTTTCTTCTTGGGGATCTCAATGGAATGTCTCTACACGTTTTTTCCTTTTCTTTCATTTCAGATCACTTCTCATCTCAATTCTTGTTCTTTTCACGTGATCTTTTGAACACGACAGAAATTTTCCGCGTTTTTGCTAGCCCACAGAGCTTTGGATTTTTCGAAACTACGAATTTTTGAAAGATTTCGGGGTATCTTTGGGTTTGATGGAAAGAAATGTAAAAACATTGTGAATATACAGGGTGGCCTGAATGGGATCGTATCACTCCGGCCGAGCTCAGAGCTTGTGCAAAACCCAACAAAAGTTTGGAGGCTCTTAAGCGACCGTTGACCAGGGAATGGGATCGAATCACTCCGGCCGAGCTGCGGCCCATCGCCGAAAATTTCATCAAGCGTTTGAGGCTCTGCATCGGAGCCAAAGGTAGATTCAGATTTCTCCAAAGGCCACTTTGAAGAAAAGTAGATTTTATGCTCTCTTTATATCATGTTGTTACTAAAAAATTGTTTCTGTTACAAAATCTTTTTGGATTTTCTAAAAAATAGGCTAAATTAGGCCGCAACGTTATTTCTGGTCACCCTGTAATGAATTTCAACTATGAATTAGCTGACTTGAATTAGCTGACTCTTGAATTTTGCTAAATATTAAAGGGAATTTGTTATTGACTGGCTTATTTGCAAAAAAACGGCTTTAATCCCTTGAAAGAGATGATGAAACAGGAGTATGATCGGGTACAAAGTGATTTGTATTTGTGATTAGTGATTTGTAAATCTTTTATAAGAAAATGTGAAAGCGAAACTCGTTCTTAATTCGGAAAAGCAATATTATTTTACAATTTTGTAAGTTTTTTGCAAATAAATTCCTACATCATGAAACAAAACAAATCGAAACAAATTCCTCCACCATGATGGCCCTAAAATCACGCAATCCTGCAACCAATCCCTGTCATTGACGAATTTTTCGCCTATATTTCGTTTATTTACGTCAAAAACACGAATCCTATCTTGTTTCCTTCAAAAAAAAAAATAACAGATCTCTTTTGCCTGAGATTTGGCTTCTTCAAAGGCTTTTCAAAGCCAACAGCTGAACGTCACAGGTCAGCACAGTTGTCACTCAAATAGAGGAAAAAAAATTGGGGAGAATGTTTGAAACGGGGATCGGATTTCTTTTTGAGTTTCTTTAAGAGGTGAGATTTCGTTCTTTTTGATCATCAAAACCCCTTAAAGAAACAACAAGATGGGTTTAAGAAAACAAAATGGCTTTGAGTTTTGAAATATAGTAGTCAGAGGACTATCTATCAAGGCTATTTTCTTTTAAAAAGATGGACAGACAAACGCAGGCCTGGTGACATTTGGGAAATGCAACACTAGACTTGTAACGAAAACATTTGTCGGTCGTTTTTTGCTGGCAATTTAAAGTTTTTCGTGTTTTTCTCAGCACCAACCCTTTCATTTTTGTCTATTTTGACTCTCATTCGATGCAGAATAAAGTTGCGCATCGAAGGATACCAAAATTCACTCAAAATAGAATATTCATGCAAAGTTGTTGGCAAAAAATCTAAACTCCGCCCATTCTGGGCGGGACTTAACCTTTTGCCTCATAACTTTGCATGGATATTAGATTTTGAGCGAATTTTGGTATCATTCGATGCGTAATTTTATTCTGCACCGAATGAGAGTCAAAATAGTTAAAATCTATGGGTTAGTGCTGAGAAAAACCTTAAATTCCCAACGGCAAAGCACCGATAGATGTTTTCGTTACAATTTGCTTTAAAGACTTATTCTGCATCGAATGAGAGTCAAAATAGTCAAAATGGAAGGGTTGGTGCTAAGCAAAACACAAAAAACTTTACATTGCCAAAAGGACCGACAAGTCTAGTCTGGTAAACGGGATCGAGCGCTTTTTGCTTTTTTAGATTTCTTAAGTGAATCGATGCTGAAATGCGGTTTTGAGCACGTTTTTTGCTTCAAGAATATTCCAAACACGGAAATCCACCGCATTAAGACCCTTGAGGGTGGTCAAATCGGGAAAATGCTGCTTACTCCAGTTCTAAACCACTCAAGCCTTATGAACATGAGCATCATCCTGCATAAAACATCAAATTCTATTGCTAAGATGATTTTTAATTCATGGAAGAAGATATTTCTTAAGTAGTTTTTAAAATTAAGTAGTCGGAAGAAGTTTCTTAAGAGTTGTTGTTGGAAAGAACATTGCCCTGAGGTGGTTGCAATAATCCTGCCGCATCCTTTAGTTAGCAAAGACAGCAAGGTTTACTGTGACTGTTCGAAAAGAGTTTAAGCTGGCATCACCAGCTGGCAAATCAAAAATATTCTCAAAAGAATGCTCACCAAAAATGTCGATGTTTTAAAGTTTCGGAAGAGAAAAATCTTCGTTGTTTCTTTGGAAAGTAACATGGATTCGCGAGATTTAGATGAAGAAAAGAGAAAAGGAAAAAGAGAAAAAGCAAAGAAATCCCCGTCATTCTCCTTTTTGATTCCCAAGAGACACAAAAATTCTTGGGCTCCCCATTTCTCGTTCCCTTAAGTTTTAAAGAAAGAAAGAAAATTTGATAAATTTGTCGAGCTTAAAGAAGAAAAGTTGGAGAGGGGGATGGGCTGGTCAAATTTCTCTCAAATTGAGCTTTGGTGGAGTTTGTTTTGATTGATTTTACATTAGTAGAACAAATAGAAATCATAGAGAATCTTTGGATCTTTTACCATAATCACTTTCACTAGAATCAGATTTTACGTTTTCTAAGACGTACAATCTGACGTGTCAACTTTCGAAAACCATCGTAACCTAGTCTAGGGTCT